GCCGCTCCCATGCTTGCACACTCTCTCTCTCAAAATAAATAAACTTAAAAAAGAAAAGACCCTTTGGCCTCATTATGAGGCAAGAAAAGGGCTGAGAAAGTTGCTCAGTTCCTAAGGAGGGCGATTTACCTGATAACCACCTGAGATGGAAAATAAGGAACCTCTCAGAAAGTGAAACCAGATGCCACAAAGAACAATGGACAAGCGCAATACTCCCAGGAAATGAGATGAGGGCCTAATCAAAAAGGATTCTCCATTCCCAAGATAGGGAGGCTCCAAATAGGGATTTTAGAGTTGTAACAGACCAATGTTTGTTATGTGTTTCTCATGCTTCATTTTCCACAGAGTAGGAGTCCCTACGAGGGTTATCCTGCCTCTGCTCAACAGGTATGTAAACTGTGTGTAGAGGGCAAATAGCATTTTAGTTCATGGTCTCCAGATGAATTGGAATGGATTTGAAATAGACTGCAAGGCATGTCATGAGATGCCATGATTGGATGGGATGAGGGAATTATCTCCCTTTGGCAGCAATGAGTGTATATTTGGTGAAGGAAAGAGAATAGACCAAATATCTAGACGATGGCAGTCATTAGTGCTGTTCATCAACTATTTCTGGCACGAGGCACATGACAGCATTGTGCTCTCTTGCCCAGGTGAAGTTAGGTGAAGCTCTATGATTTGCTTTGAGCACGAACTGTGTCACCTCTAGGTGGATGCTTTAAGAGCCAATTCATATAAACGTATAAACATACATACTATGCTGTATGTTAACCAGCTGGAATTTAAACAAAAACTTGAAGAAAACAAAAACAAAAACGAAGAGCCCTTTCACATATACCATGTTCTCTTCCCACTCTCACTGTGGAGGGTGGAGACGGCGGCAGCCCAGGGCCCTGTGTGAGGACAACGTGGAGTGGATCCCCCACTGGCCTGAAGCAGAGGAGCAGGACAGAAATACAAGCCTTTGTTGTAGTCATCTTCCTCTCCTCTTGCAGCCTATGGACCACTAGCAGAGGTTCATCTGCAGAGAAGTAGATGCACAGGAAAGAGAGCAAAAACCTCTAAAGGTTTTTTATTCTGAATTCAAATCCTTCCCGAAGCTCCCGCACATTCCTGTCCCTGGGTCCCCTAAGACACCCTTTACTCATGTAATTTTGCTTCTTAGGGTTTTTGTTTTCAAACTAGCTCAAGCTGATTTTATTCCCATCCAAAGAGTTGTAATTAATGCATTCGCAAATTTGTAAAACCCCATTATGTCATCAACGAAAGAAAGACAAATGTGAAGGCATGGGACACACTGGGAGAACCATGGTGGACCCAGCCCAAGTGGGAACGTGGCAGAGACAAGCCAACTGTTGGCCATACCCATTTTCTCCTTTTCCCTGAGTGCACAGACTACGTTTTTCTGCCTCTTTTCTCATTAGGTGAAGCAAGGTGACTGAGCTCTAGCCAATGGAATGTGAACAGATAATATGTGCCACCTGCCTCACACAACCCTCCATGCTCTCTTCCCTCAGCAGCTTGAGGCAAAAGGAGAGTGACCTTAGCAGCCATGCACTGAAGATAACAGAGCCCCAAGACAAAGAACTTGGGTTACTGAATCGCAATGAGAAAAGCCACCCACTGACAGGAACACCTATGTTGTGACAGATACTAACTTGTCCTAACTCATCTAAAGGAGGAGTAGAAGAAAGCATTTTACACTCGATTAGCCCTTTGTGGTTCTTTCACACCTTCTGGCCGAAGGAGGTAGTGAAATTGTTCCCATTTTACAGTGGGGTTAGGCAAAGCTCAGAGAACTTAATGTTGCTAGAGAGGAGGAATACGGGCCACTACCCAGCCAAGGTCAGCCCCAAATACAGACTGCCTGATTCTCAGAGACCAATCCTTTTCCACTGTGTTACAATGAATGCTAACGATTCATCCTTAAACTAGCATATTCGCAGCCAATCTGAATCTCTAAACTATGAAACAGATGATAAAAAGATGAGAGAAGGTTATCGTCCCTTAAGACAGCCATACCATCCCATTTCTTTCTTCATGCCTAGTGCTCAGCCAAGAACATGGTATAAAGAGAGACCTTCCCATTTGCCTGGAAAGGTTTTAAAAAGTCTTATCAAGAAAGAAAACTTTAAGTGTACATCACACTACAATTAGAGACCAGCAACAGATGTTGTGTACATCTTTTACTTGTAGACCAACCGTAAGACTGTACCTTCATCAAATGAAATGCGCTTAAAAAACAATATAACAATTGCACATTGTAGGTAATCCAGTTGCAGCAATGAGAATACAGAATTCCGAGAGTACCTGGTAATTCAAACATGCATCTAGTAACGCAGAGTATTCTGTAATACTGAGGAATGAAAAATAGAGCATGTTGACTTTCAAGTTGGGATGATTTATTTGCACTTAAAAATACAACTTCTAAGAGGACATCTGTTTTCAAAAATGTCTTAATGTTAAAAATATGCTACAGGACCTGTTGTCTTCATGTTGAAAATGTAGATGTCATATCAGCATTAGCTTACAAGTCATAGGTGATAACATGAACACAAAGTCAGCAAGCAAATACTCATTGGGAATACAGTGTTTATATTAAAAATATCAGAAGTTCACAGTTTTCTTCTTTCTTCCTGACGTATATTGATAAAATGCTTTTATAGCTACAATCTATTTCACTCTCTGGTACCAGATCCAATGTCTATTTGATCAGCAGATGGATGCTACTAACACATTCGTCTTACATAGAACTCACACGTCTTTAATTTCTAAAAATGTTTTGCTCTGTAAAACTGTGACCGCTGGGAATGGAAAAGATTGGAAACTAAGTTCAAGTGTAATGATAAGAGAAAGAGGGAGATAAAATGTTGGCAATTTTTACTAATAAAACATTGAATTATAAAGTACATAAGGGTAACACAGAGGATTCAACAAGAAACCATACACTGATTTACAAAGTCTACGACCTCTATTTTTGGTTAACCCAAATAAAAGTGAAAAATACACATTTTCAAAGAATTCCAAAATCTACCTACACATCAAGGTAACATTAAGTGTTCTCAGGTAATCAGAGCACAGGACGGGTTTATTTCTGTTTGTGTTTTAAGGCAAAGCAAAATTCCCCAAGTGAAATACCTACAAAATAAATTTGCTTTAGAAATAAATTTCAGTAATAAAATAATACTTCTCACTTATTAAATATATATTTTACCTTTACATCTGATGTAGCAACTTGCATCAAAAACTTGAAGAGTTCTAGGAATATCTGCAGATAAATATTTAAAATGCTAGCATAGAAATACCTCAGCTGGTATTCATTCAGGTGTTTGGATGTCAACAGTGAGCAAAGGGAAAAAATAATAAATAAACTACTTCCTTATAAAATTTTCCCCTTTAGACAACATGAGAATGCAACACACTGGTAAGAATGAAGTAATTTCCCTGGACAGCGCGTATCAGTGGAACACACGTTCTCCTTTTGCAAATCAAAGTACCCACCAGGACTGTTTTCTTCGCCCATTAAATCAATAGCCTAAGATTTATAATGTTTGCCATAATCTCTCTTTTCATGTAAATTATTTTCTTAAAAAAATAAAGCACTGTATAGAAAGCAACTGTCTACTATGAAGAATAAAATCATTTCAGGTAAAAAGTGAAGTAATTAATGAAAATTGTTGTTTAAAACTCATTTATTAACCTGGACACTTGGTTCCAATAAATATAAGAAGAAATAAAAGGTCTCCATGATTTCCCAAGCAGGGAATGTCATCCCTTCACATTGAGGAAGAACTTCCAGCATTTCAAAATAACCTAATTGCTTTAAAACTGAAATGATAAGCAATATTCTTTAATATATTCATTGTATCCAACTTCTCTGGCTATCAGTTCTGTTACACTGAGACGAACATCTTTTTTTCTAAGTAATGTCAGACTACGAATAATTGAAACAAATTTACTATAAAATATTAAGTAGCAATAAAACAAAAAGCTCCCACTGGGATATGCCAGCATCCCTTACATTCATCATTTAAATTGTATGTTTCTAAGAACTACTAGATTAACGTACAAGGTGTATTGAATATTAATATGCAACAAGATTTACTTTATGAAGCTTGGTTTTATAAAGTACCTTGAGATTTCTTATGAAATATCTGATCTGTAGGCATTCTTTATTAAGTACAGTGAGGTGGCTGCTTTGATTTTTCCGTGGAAGGTCATACTACATAGAGTATTGCTGTGCTGATACATTTGTAAACTGGACAGAACGGGGCTTGGACTTCCTCCGAAGCTAGATCCACATGTCCCTTGGCGATGGATCAGGCCAAGAACCTGCTCAGCCTTCGGAATCCACTAAAGAGCCCCCACATCATTTCTTTCTATAGTTTTGAAGTTATAAACAGACACAATGGACTTCAATGCCATCAAAATCAGAGAGCAACTGCTCAACAGAGAGGGTATTTGCCCTCACGATGAATTCTGAGGTGTCCTTCCTTACATTTCAAGTTCAGCAGTAACTAAATCTAACAGCAGATGGAAAAAAGATGGTGAAGCAATGGGGAAGCAGGAATGGGGTTTCACAATAAGCAATATAATTCATAAGGAAAAATCTGTGAATCACTGGTCTGGAGGAGGGGAGACAATCTAGAGAAAATCCTGCACTCTTTCTGAAAGAGCAGGATAAAGCATTGTCTATTTAATATTCATAAGCTGTGTTCTATCAATCTACCCATCTGATTGACATGTCTAAAGAGATTAAAAATATGTCAGGTATGTGAATACACATCACTTAAGTATAGAGACACATTAAAAATATTACTAATGGGCAGTAAAAGGCTTAAAATGTATAACAAAAATTTTTAATGTTTATTATTTTTGAGAGAGAGACAGAGAGCAAGAAGGGGAGGAACAGAGAGAGAGAGAGGGAGACACAGAATTGGAAGCAGGCTCCAGGCTCTGAGCTGTCAGCATAGAGCCTGATGCGGGGCTCAAACTCACAGATTGAGAGATCATGACCCGAGCTAAAGTTGGCCACTGAACCAACTGAGCCACCCAGGCGCCCATAAAATATATAACTTGAAATAAACTATCTGCCAAATTATTCTCTAAGTGGATAACTAATACCTAATATTCCTTAAATAGTCCTATTGGCATAGCTGAGTCAATGTTGAAACATTAATAATATACAGGGATTGAAAAGGTCACCACATTTTTCAGAATAATGTTAACCTTAGAAAATACTATTTTAATCATAAAATCTACTAACATCGCAAAGTACAACTCTAACAGCCTGTGCTGTTGTATCTGAAAACAGAAGGAATGTCTATAAAATCAGATTAAAATAATAATGTTAAAAATAAGGCCTCAATCTAGTATTTACGGAGCTCTGAGAGAGAGAGTGGAGAAGGATCAAAGATGACTCTGATCATCTGCAGAATAAAATGAGGAGATGAAAGTTTACAGACACTTGAACAGAAAGCAAACCTCACAGATGTGTATTTGAACCAGAATTGAAAATGTAACTATGGTGATGGGTGATCACAGTAGACAGCAAGGAAAAGCCAGAACTCCAGAAAACATGCTTTTGGGGGGCATTTACTTTAAACAGAACCATAGCATGTATATATGAGCGCTCCCTGACACTCACACTCACACACACATGCCACTAGCCACGTTTTGAGTGCTCACTAGTCCCATGTGGCCAGTGACTACCATACCAGACAGAGCAGGACTGAAGGAGAAACAACACTATCCAGAAGTTGAGTGAGGGGAGGACATAATTTCCCAAGATCCATCCCAGGGATCTTAACGATCTTAGGGCATCTAAACGATCACTAGTACCCTCCTTAACTCGTTTTAACTAAATGCATTTGAATTTACGATTCCTAAACATGGAGAAAATAACTAGGAGAAAAACAAATATTTAAAAAAAAAAAAAGAAAACCAATGAAGAATTAATCAGTAATTCCAGAAATTCTTCAAGTTGGTCACAAAGACCTTTTTGTAATTATTATTTTCAGTATGGCCAAAGGAAGAAAAGCCTTTGTCGGAAAACATTAGTAGACCTACTTTGAAAGGAAGGATGAGAAGTAGAATCATGATGACTATAGGGTCTATTAGTGCCTATCACAACGTAACTACATCTACAAGTAGCTTCAAAAGAAGAAAGACCCATTTGTCTTCAAAAGGGGGGAAGCTTTCTTCTTTACACACATCGCACTGATTTGAAGCTCTAATCAAGGTCTCATTACAGTGACCTCAAAGTTCAACTATAAGTTTCTAGGCCAAGTAGGAATGACAGTCACAAAGCTCTGCTAAACCTCCTCCTTTGCAAAGAGATAGTTATAGTGTTAGATTGCTACCATGATTAAAAACCTTCCTTGGTGCTGATTAATTTGAAATTCACCTCCCTACAGTGCCTACCCCACGTGTAGAATGAACAGAACCAATGAACTTCTTTTTCCTATGTATCTTGAGACCCTGTGTCCACAAGAAGCACAGAAACACTAAAATAAATGTCTATATAAGAGGTGATGGAGTTCATCTTCCATTAACTATCAAGCAGATATCAGGCCTGCCTTGTCATCAATCCTACAAAGCATAACCTCTACTTGAGTCTTAAATGCAGTCAGCACGAATCAGAACCCTGGCTCTCCATTTTAAAAAAAAGGAAGGAAGAAAGAAAATTATACCAAAAACTACACAAATTGCACAAACTGTCAGACGCATTGGCAGCCCAAACCCATCACATATGCCCCTCAAAACATTAGATAAAATATTGTCACTTCAGCACTCATTCTTCACAAAGCACCCTGAATCCAAAAGAACTCCAAAAATGCAGCATTAGCTGACGTCACATGAAACTGGTGCCACCATGGTCTCGTAAACAGGACAGGGAACAGATAAATATTTGTAGCATTAATGACAGTACAACACTTAAACACTCATTGGATAGATTATCCGTATTACCAGGTAACTATAAAAAGAATAGGAAGTAAGCATAAAAACAAGATAAGAAAAAAATAACAAGGGAAAAAATTTTAACTGGAGCTAGGAATCTCTTTTATAGTTGTTTGGTAATGCACAATTAAAATAAAATAAAAGCAACCACTATTAGCTTCTATTGTTTTCATATTACACCAGAAAGAGAAGTTTTTACGGACTTTTGCCGTGACCTGCTGTTTCTCACAAAAACAATATGGGTGTTTATACTTTTAAAAAATAACTGCTACCAAAGCTCTTCAAAGGGATTTATAAACCACTTCTCAAGTTATATGCAAAATAATTATTAAGCTTATTTTCCACTGATGACATTGTAATAATACTTAATTTTATTTCCTCTTGTCTGGATCTAAAGTAAAGCTATGTAATTCATATTAATTAGCACATGAGAGCTACCACCATGCTCTCCAAAGGGCTAGTGTTCTGACTCAAGCTATATTAACCATCTTCCATTGGAAACATATCCTCAGCATTGGTCAAGAATTAGTACCTTAAGGAAAAGAAGACCAAATACCTGCTGGGTATAGACTTGTGTAGCAGGGAACAAACAGTAAGGGGCAAATTCATAATCCGGGTTATGCCAAACACATGAGTAAATTTCAAGTTGTCTGAATTTCACACACGTCTTTCATTTTACATCAGAGACCACAAACGCAGCCAATACTTTTGTGCTGATACTGTAATCAGTGCTTAAAAATCAGAATTATTACAGCAACCCACTCATTCACACAGCCTTTCACGGTTTACAAAAAACCGTCATAAGCATTCTCTAACCGAGCTGCCACAAGCACCAAGCACTGTGTTGCTCTCCCCACTGGGGAAACTGAGTCCCAGAAAGGATGAGACTTGCTCCATGTCAAGGAATGACTGACTGAGATGGGCTCCTGACTCCAAATCTGGGGCTGTTTCTGTTAAACTGCAGAGTCTTCCATGTAAGTTACTCTTCAAAACAGAATAGAAACAGGGCAAAACCCTGATATATGGGTCCCATGAATTGTTTTTCCTTGCCCTGGATGCAATCTTGTCATGAGTCTCAGTACCTACAAATGGGGGATGTGGGGGTAGAGAGTGATGATCACAAAATAAGACGGACACTTTGTGGTAATAGTTAGGTTTGAACAGTTTGACATCGTTGGCTGCAAACACATAATGCACAGACTGACCATTATAAAACTGAGAGAGACCTGGAAAGATATCTGTTCTTTTTCCATTTCACAGGTGAGGAAAATATGCTGATACGGAGAGCAGGGAGCTCCCTAAAGGTCACCCCAGTAACTGCTAATCAGTAGCAGAGCCAGGCTCTCCTCCGCATCCTGCCCTGATCGTGTTTCCTAGTTAGAGGACGAAGCACAGGCTAGATATTTACAAGGAACCATCACAGTGCTAGAGAGATTAGAAAATTAGATCTTACTAACATCATGAGTATAAAAATTATATTTTACATATCATTTAAAGCAGCAGGAACTTTACTTCCTATAGACAAAAATGATCAACATATGTACTGTAGATTCTCATTGCTAAGGTTGAGGATAATTTCTAAAATATGACTTTTCTTCCCTTTAGACAGTTTTTTGAATTTTGTTTTTATAACAGACTTAAGTACATTCAAACAAAGGATAGTGTCTCAAAAATGTCACTACCTTTAACTTACATGAAGAATAAAAAACTAACAAAACAAAACAAAGTCTAATATTTCACCATCCTTTCTAGATATAGTTCCCTTCATCCTATTAAGGACATTATCCTGTCCCTATTCACACCCACTGCTTGTCTTATTCAGGAGACTTCAGGTTATTGTTAATTGGTTTTGAATGTAGGTGATTTTGATTTCCCCTCTTACATTTAAATACCAGGCAACAGAATATCTCTGACCAACAAACCTAAAAAGTGGCTCAACTTATAAGCCGTTTGCTACTTAAACATGAATTACCACATTAAAAAAATAAATAATCTAATTAGACTTCATTATTTTGTGAGTCCTTTAAAAGACTTCTTCACTCTCCCAATTCAAATCTAATATGAAATTCTTTTTGGAGAGGCAAAATATAAGAATTTTCTAGATAGTACTGAATATTGAACATCATTTCATAGGAAAAAAACATATATGCAGCTCAACAGTAAACTACAGAGATGATAGAAAGTATTGACAATAAAATTAGTTTTTTCTCTCTCGTTCACAAGATCACTCTTCCACTTTAACCCAAGGCCTAATCGACAGCAGACGCCGGTGCTGGGGGAAAATTCCATCCTTCATGTTCTGATCAATCTGAGGAAGTTTTTCTCCACAGGTGAATGGCTGCCTGAATTCGGAAGTGTAGTCTGGACTCCATGGAGTAATCTTTGTAGTTGTTTCTAAAAACAATAACAATAAAATTGTAATGTCAAAATTCCTTTGTATCCAAGGGCAATACCACCACCTCCCCTCCTTCTCAGCTTCATTACTTATTTGCTTCCAAACTTGAATAGGCATTAACAGCAGATCTTGGGAAAATGTAGATTCTGGTCCTGTGAGTGAAGGAGGACGGCAGTAGTCTATATTTCTAGAAGCCTCCTGGCAGTGATTTGAAAGTCATGCTTTGAGTTAGCAAGGTCCTATTTAATAAGCAAGCCGTTGACAAACATGGCAAGAAGCTTATGAAGAGGGTTTCACAAGTTCTGTGAACTATTCCTAGATAGTTGATCTCCTTTTCCAAACCAGGAATTTTAAGGTAGCCTCATGTGAACATCATAAATCACGGCCTCCCCCCTGCCCCCCCCCCCGCTCCCTCCCTCCCCCAACCGTCCTGAAATGCTCAGGCAACAACTACAGCAAAGACAGCCAGATTACATGGGCAAGTAACAATGGTTTGGCCAATAATTATTGTGTGACGAGGTTAGAAGGGGCCATAGAAATCCATGGATTAGCCAACAACTCTATTTATTAGATCGTTCATGTTCATTTCTGTCTGCTAGGATTGTTAAGAATCAGCAGAACAGGGGGCACCTGGGTGGCTCAGTCGGTTAAGCATCCGACTTCAGCTCAGGTCATGATCTCACGGTCCGTGGGTTCGAGCCCCGCATCGGGCTCTGTGCTGACAGCTAGCTCAGAGCCTGGAGCCTGTCTTCGGATTCTCTGTCTCCCTCTTTCTCTGACCCTCCCTTGCTCACGCTGTCTCTCTCTCTCTCTCTCTCTCTCTCTCTCTCAAAAAAATAAATAAATAAAAAGAAAAAGAAACATTAAAAAAAAAAGAATCAGTAGAACAGAATGGCTTTGCTTTTGGGCTCCTGCTTTCACTCACCGCTCTACCCCGTGGACGAACTGTCACTCCTTCCTTTTAGTGGCAATCACTTCTTTCTAGAGGTCTTCATTGTACAGAGGTCTAAGAGCTACTTAATAGTAACCTTGATAATGGTTATTATTTATTCACAATATGTGTTATTATGTATAAATGGAATCAACATCTTACTAGAATTTACCAAAGGATGTGACTAGATTTTTTCCTAAATGTCTGGCCACTAATTTTGGTGACTTAGTGAAGCTCTAACTACATAAGGGAAAGTGCAGGCAGCTGACAGTCCTGAAATTTCTGGCAAGTCTGTTCCTGGCAGCATCATTAGCACTGGCTTGAGCTGGTGGTGGCTTTTTGATTGCTGACAGTCTTCCAGTTTAGTAGTGACTTGACAGCCTTACTTTCATCATTATAAATGCATCTTATTACGCATTGCTTAGGTAACACCAAGTACGTCCAAATAACAAATACCTCGAACAACAGGAATTTTGGTTCCTAATTTTTCAATAGCTAGATTTGAAGATACACACATGACCGTTGAAATATGAGTCATTTTCACTCTCAGAAAAACAGCTTTAAAAGTGACTCACTCAGATATCACCCTTTAAAAAAAAAAAAAACAGCAGCAGTGGCCTCTCTGCTCCATGATGCCCCTGAAGCTTCTTCCCCATTACTATGCTCTATTCACACCAAAGTATCCTGAAAAGTTGCCTGACATAGCTGACTCCATTTTCTCCCCTCACTGGTCAAAGTCACTGATGGTCTTCATGCTGCCAAATTCTTGGGACTGAGCTTGCTTGACCTCTCAGCTGCCATGATCACAACTGACCACTCTCTTCTCTTTGAAACACTTTGCTCGCTTGGCTCTCCTGCATGTCTTCCTAACTCACTGGCCACGTCTTCTGAATCTCATGGTTTAATCTCTAACATGATGGTCTATCCCAAGGCTCTGTGCTGGACCTCTTTCTCTAGCTTTATAATTTTCCCAAAATGATTTCGTCAAGTATCGTGGCTTTAAGTATCACTGTCTCTTGTGCTGGTGACTTTGAAATCTCTACATTCGGCCTTGACGTTTGCACTGAACTACATGCTTGTATGTTTCACTGCCAGCCCACCATCTCCACAGGGACACCTAAAAAGCACTTCAAAATGCCATGGTCCAGATAGAAGTATGTTTTCTCCTCTCCTGGAAGCTGCTCTTCTAAGTATATCTCATTTCAGTTAAAAGCATCATTTACTACCTAGTGGCTCAAGCCCCCAGTTTAGAGGTTTCCTTGCTGTGGCTTCAGCCAAGAATGCTCCCCACCCAAACTTTTGATGACTGATCTTCTCAAGACTGGCTTTAATTATGAAAATCTCAACTACAGTATCACCTATTCAAGGAGACCTCCCAGGTTCAACCCAATCTAAAGTAATACCCAGGGACTCTGTACCATATTGTAAATCTCAGCAAAACACGTACCACTGTTGTTTTTCTTACTTATTTGTCTATTCAACATCTCTCTCTAAGTAAGCAAGAAGAAACTCTACCTGTTTATGTATAGTTTGTCTAGGGCCTTTACTAGTTTCTGGCACATGATACATGCTCAGTGAATACTTGTTGAACTTGAATAAATGAACAAACCAATGAATCACTAAGCTATTTATGGCCTAAAGCTATTATGCTGTTCTTTCTCCACTGTAAGAAGCATTCAAGAGGTTTGTGGTCAAACAGACCACAGGGGCTTTGCCCCTGCTAAGTGAGCCATGATCACAAGTCTAAGAGCCACTGTCTAGCAAAAATGAAAGTGATTTAAAATTACCACAGTAGACAGAAAGAAAAGAGAGCCAGGGAAAGATTCAGAAGTCTTCTTCAAATCACTGACTCTTCAAGGAAATGAGAGATATGGTTGAATACACCAAGGGTCAGCAAACCATGACGAAAATAATGGCCAAATCCATATATACCCATTTATTTACAGATTATCTTCCATGGCTGCTTTCAATACAATTGACTATTTGCAATGAGCCCTTACACTGTAAACCCAAAAATGCTTACTATCTGGCCCTTTACAGAGTTTGCCAACCCCAATACAGAAGAGAATAAGTTAGAAATCTGTCATAGAGGGGTGCCTGATGGCTCAGTGGGTTAGGCATCCAATTCTTGATTTCAGCTCAGGTCATAGTTTATGAGTTTAAATCCACACTGGAGCCTGCTTGAGATTCTCTCTCTGCCTCTCCCATACTCTCACATGCATACACACTCTCTCTTTCTCTCTCTCAAAATAAATAAATAAAATCTAAAAAACAACAACAACAACAACAACAAAACAATGAAATCTGTCCTATAGATGCCCAGAGTCAAAATATTTGTAAATAGTCACAGAGTCAGGCATTGAAAAGGTTAAAAGTAGCATAACTGCAGCCAAAAGCATGAACATAACATTACTAATTTTTCAATAATGTTTTAACTTATAAGTATAGAATATCACTGCTGTGGTCATAGTGGTATTGATGTTCCTGACTCTATAGCAACCAGGAAAAGCTGCCATTGTGACTTACCTTGCAGTTTCTAGGGTCTTGATGGCCTTATCAATTTCCCCTTGGCTTTTGTACAAAAAGGCCAACTCAAACAGAGTAAATGGCACTAGGTAGTGGTCATACTTCAGTAGCTTTTCACTAAAAGAAGGAATGAGAAGTGATTAAGTTTTAACAGAAGAAACGAATTGTTCCTTTTCAATGTATGTACTTTCTCCATTCCTCAGAAAACAGGTGCAGCACTAAGCCTATTATCAGACAGAACTGTCATTATAAAGTCTAAGAACTTAATAACCTAGAGCAGTAAGTAGTATTCTTTGAATATATTAATCTGTTATTTTATTCCTTAATCTAAATCCAGCACTGAGCATTGTTTATGCCCGTTAGGAAGATGGATGGACGCAGGTCTTCAAAGATTAGCCCTGGAAAAGACAAGATCATCCTCCTAAAAAAAATGAATGTGTTCAGGAAATGACTCCATTTAGAAATAAGAACACTGTATTATTTTATACTGTTAAGTTTTATAAGGATTAAAAAAGTCAATAAAGAAGTTTCCAACACTTCTGTTTTCCACAATATTATGAAATCTGACTATATAAAACATCTAGGAGAAATAATATACGTAACACCCTTCTAAATGCATAGCTCAGCTCACAAGAACATAAGAAAAATTCTCAACAACAACAAAAAAAGAAAGCCAGACCGCTAAGTGTGTGGATGATGTCAAACAGTAGTGGGGTCTGCTTCCACCTTAATCAACTAGGGCTCTATATCTCCAAGTCCATGCAGGAGATGAGGCCTTCTGTCCACATAAGAGCAGAGACTGAGTCCTCTGTATAGAGCTGGGGCCATACTCCACCAGAGAAAGGGCAGACTGGAAAAACCTACTCCCTGGCACAATGTAGGCCTGCACTCCAAGTTGGAAGGAAAAAACACATTCCTTGGGAAATTAATAACCAATAGGCCTGTCCCCACATGAATTTGCAATTCAAATTTACATGGCCCCGGAGCACCTGGGTGGCTCAGTACGTTGAGTGTCTGATTTCAGCTCAGGTCATGATCTCATAGCTCCTGAGTTCGAATCCCAAGTCAGGCTCTGTGCTGACAGCTCTGAGCCTAAAGCCTGCTTCAGATTCCGTCTCTCTTTCTCTCTCTGCCCCTCCCCACTCTCTCTCTCAACAACAAATAAACATTTAACAACAACAACAAAATTTACATGGCCCAAATGATCCTAGGACCTCTAAGCAATGATATTAACATGAAAGGGGGCCTGGGCTGAAAAAGCTTTGAGGGCATCTGGCAGAAGTAAAAGCAAAATCACTTTAGAGAGACTCTGCTTCAATCCTAGCCTCAGAGGCATCTCAAGATAAAAGCCCAAGAAGGTGAGCTCATGATCCAAAATTACAAAACACGTGAGCCAACAGTTCACTATAGATTAGATAAGCATAACACATAGCACAAATGGGTCATCCTCTTGATCCTTCCAGAAACACCAGTCAAATGGAACTCAAGGGATACTTCTTTAACAAGTTTACTTAAAACAGCATATTACTGATTTGGGAAGGAGACATGGTCTCTTGCCTCTCATCAGCATACCTGTCCTGCCCAGTCTTCCTACATTCTCCTATAAAACAGTGTTTAGTGGTCACAGGATGTAGCGTTCCGCTTACACTACCAGTGGAAATGCCTCTTGGGCTGCGACCTTGCTCTGAAAGGACAAAGAGAACACTACTGGATTCTCGCCCTGGAAACACCAAGTAGAAGATGGGCAGCAGGAGACAGCCCATCCCTGTCGCACAGTAATTCCTCGGGAGCCAGGGGGTGGCTGCCGCTCAGCTTCCTCGCGGCCGTACCTTTGCAGGACATGATTGAAGCACAGCTCTGCTTGCAAGGGCCGCTGCAAGTTCTTCAGGCAGCACCCCTTCAGCAGCTTCACCAGGCACTCGTCATCCACAGAGTAGTCGCTCACATCTTTAAAGGAAAACAAACAGAAGTCACATACAAACGAGAAATCGCTTTTAAAAATCCTAATCAAGAGAGAGGAGGAATAGCTCGTTGGTTTCCGAGGGGTCATTTTTTTTTTTAATTTATTTGAGAGAGAGAGAGAGAGAGAAAGAGAATCCCCAAAAGGATCCCTGCTGTCTGTGTAGAGCCCAATGTGGGGCTCAAATTCATAAACCGTGAGAGAATGACCTGAGCTGTATCAAGAGTTGGATGTTTAACCGACTAAGCCACCCAGATGTCCCTCAGAGGTATCATTTAAACACAAGGAAAATATTTTTATAGCATTTATTATATTTCACTTAATAATACACAATGAAAATATTTTAAATTAAAAGAATAGGGAGTTTACTAAATTAATACATCATTTTATTAAGGGGTTCACTCTACCCACTTAAAATTTTTTTTTAAGTTTATTTTTAAATTTATTTCTGAGACAGAGAGAGACAGTGTGAGCAGGGGAGGGTCAGAGAGAGAGGGAGACACAGAATCTGAAACAGGCTCCAGGCTCTGAGCTGGCTGTCAGCACAGAGCCCGACGCGGGGCTCGAACCCACGAGCTGTGAGATCATGACCTGAGCCGAAGTCAGACGCTTAACTGACTGAGCCACCCAGGCGCCCCTCCACTTAAAAATCTTTTTCCAGGGGTGCCCAGGTGGCTCGTTCAGTTAATCATCCAACTCTTAGTTTCAGCTCAGGTCATGATCGCACAGTTCCTGGGTTCGAGCCCCATGCCAGGCTCTACACTGTTAGCAAGGGGCCTGCTTGGGATTCCTCTTTCCCTCCCTTTGCCTCTCCCCAGTGCACATGCACGCATGTGCTTTCACTCTCTCTCTCTTTCTCTCAAAATAAACAAACTTTAAAAAAAATATTTGAGATCTTAAAAAATACACATGATAAAAAAATCTTTTTTCAGGTGCTCATTCTCAGAGTTATGTGACCTTAGATGTAACAACAGGAAACCTGAACTCTAAATAAAGGTAGCGCTTTATGAATCCTGGAAAAGGAAAAGCAAGAAGCCGGCCCTGTCCTGTGGCTCCAGCATCTAACTGTGCTAAGCAGATAACACTTCCATATGGAGAAGCAGATGGCTTCCCACCCATTAAAAATTCAGGAAGTAAAATGCCCTCTCCAGATCATTCTGTTTACAAACTTATCAATTCTCCCAGGTTATGTTCTTTTGGGGGGAAATTATGTCATAAAATTAGACAAAATGCTTCTGAAGCGCATACAAGTTACCTAAAACCCTCACAATCTTGCAACTGCTTGAGGCTAATGTGAAGGCTTTTCTGTCACCACATTTTCCCTTTTGAAAACGACCCTTTGCCTTCTACGGTGCAAGGTTGCAGAATATTAAACAAAAGGAATCCTATTATATGTGACATCAACCTGACAAAGGTAGCCGTTTCACATCTACCACGTTTGAATGTTGGGGCTCTGCAAGTGACTGTAATTAAGTGATTCCAAAGACAGACTGATAATTTACATGTTCAGGCCGTGACAATACAAGGGATTGGAGGGGCAGTAAACCAAACCAATGACGCCTGGGATTCCTCATATTGAGATCCTGCTGCTTCCCGTACAAACCCCAGAAATCACCATTAACACATGCTGGTGTGGTTTTGGAAGGCAGGTTGTTTTATTTATTTAAGTAATCTCTACACCCCATGCGGGGCTCGAACTCATGACTCCAAGATCAAGAATTGCACACTCCTCCAACTGAGCCAGCCAGGTGCACCAACACATGGTGGTGTTTTAGTTAGTAAACTGCTTGTTTATAGGAGTTAATGATGCTACTTAGCCAATCGGAAGGGGGTCACTTTACTTGTAGGTGCTAAAAACAGCTGATATTCACCTCTCATGTCCAAGCTCTGACAGTTCATTCACCAAGAAAAATCACAGATATCAACATTGCATTACCTTTCCTATTACAATTAAGGGCTCTTTTTTCACACCCTACCTTACCTCCTCCCCTGCCCCCAACCACAAACATATCTACGGCTTCTAAGCACGGATGCTCACTGAAATATACATACAAGAAGCAGTATCTTCCCAGGCCTAGAACCGAACCCTCAGGGTCCATACTGGAGGCTAGTTTTTAGTATCATTTTTGTGCAGCCTATTGAGTTCTGTATTAGCAGTTTATGAAAGTTTGCCTTATAAAATTCTAGTGCTCAGTGAGGGATGGTTTTGCTGAGGAACCGTTATAACGCTATGGAAAATTAAAGTACCAGTAAAGCCACACTTAGCTTTTATCTAGATCATGAGCTAAGGACATGGAAAATGGGTTCAAAAACACCACATCCCTCCAAAAACCTTAGCTAAACCATTATTTCCTCACCACCGGGCACTGTCACATGATTATTTTCCTTTAAAATAGGAATGCTTTATCATGATTCTCAACCTCATGGGTAAGTTCACAGATGAACATTTCAACACACGATTTCCATTGTACGTTCCATGAAAAATATAAATGCTGCCACAGCACACTTTCATCACAAAAGATCTGCTTAACTTAATAAAACGGAGGGCAAAAATAAAATAAAAATAAAACAGACGGTAGGCTGAGGAAAAAGAAAGTTTGAGGCCGAAACTACAAAAATATTCATGTTGAACTTTTTAGAAACTAGCTGAAAGGCACCAAAGGAAAAATTTAAGAATAGATTTAGAAAGTGAAAAGCCATCAAGCAGCATTTTCCCTTGTACATAACCCAGATTATGTTTGCTATATAATTCCACAAAGCAAATTAACTGCAATCAATAGTCAAAGAAGAACTACTCTACCAACTTCTGGCTACAGGATAAATTTAGGTAGATTTCCAATGGAACGATAATGGAATCAATAGCAGACACTGACTCCAGGCGTATGGACAAGTGTTTTTCTCTTATTAAACCATATCCTTCCCTTTGCATCCACAACCAGCCACAACTGCATTGTCAGAGGAGAACACCAAGCAGACCCTCTGTCACCTTTTACTTCAGAGACGGTTGCCAAGAGGAGGCGAAGCAGAAACACATGCAATTCCCAGCACCTCAGGTTTACAACTTCATGTCATTTTTTTCAGTTTTGGATATTTTCCCCCTTGCTGTGAAAGATAAGAGCTTCATTACTAAAAGGTCACTACCGGGGAGAGGGAGGGAGCAGAGGTGGAAATCTGGCCATTTTCCTGCATAAAACAATGGACCTGGAAGAAATGATCATAAATTTCATGTATAAAATCTGGCAAAGACAATCTTCAGGAAGGAAAACTTTTTTTTTTTTTTAACCCAGAGAGAAACGGAATTGGACAAAGTACAGTGTGTCTGTCTGAACTTCCCCTAGTCCTGTTCAAATATCTATAAGCCTATGATCTCGAGAGATCATAAAAAAGTAAGGAACGAATGGAGAGAACAGTCTAGTTTCCTAAACCTCTATTGCACTGCACATGCATAGTCTGATACGTGTATTACTCCTCCACATTTGTTCCCCAACTAGTAGTGGGGCAAAATAAGCTTTGAGGTAGAAGGTGAAGGGCCTGCTCAAACAGAGAAAAACTCAATAGTCCCTCAGGACTTCTTACCGTACAAAGGCCCAGGCTCTGGTGGTACCACAAAGGATAGACATTCAAGTATCAGCATTCACTGTCTGAACCAAAACCCATTTATTTGTAGGAAAACACAAGACACAAACTGGTCTACTTTTCTGGGGGGTGAGGGAAATACTTTACAAATGTTTTCATTTAATAAAAAGAGGTTTTCCTTCACGTCTTGGTTTTTACATATGCACTTATTAAAAACATACCCATTTTCCCATTTGGTTTGTAGATATGTGGGCTTTAATCCTCGATAATTCCCCTACTGGCAGGAACGATGTTTTCTTAGCCTATCATACATAATTCTGTAGCTAGTATGGAAAATCTAAGAGTGTTCAAATGAGCAGCATTTGAATTTAAAGTAAACAAATCAGTTGAACAAAAATGAATACTAAAATTTGTTTAAAAACCCAAATGGGTGTTACAAAGATGCATTTTGTGAAATCTCACTTTATAAGTTGAACTTTCTTGAGGTTTCACTTCATCTAAATTTCAAAATGATGTCCCTTTAGGTTGACATTACACTTAAATCAAAATGAAATTTTTTTCATGGCACCTGGGCAGCTCAGTTGGTTAAGCATCCAACTTCAACTCAGGTCATGATCTCACAATTCTGGTTTCGAGCCCTGCATCAGGCTCTGTACTGACAGCTCAGAGCCTGGAGCTTGCTTCGGATTCTGTGTCTCCCCTTCTCTCTTTGCCCCTCACTCGCTCACACTCTGTCTCTTTCTCAAAAATAAACATTAAAAATTCTTTTAATAAAAAAAGAAATATTTTTCCTTTTTGAACTCTTTCACACTGAAAATAGTAAAGATCATCTCACACTCATTAGGATGGCTACTACCAAAAACCCCAACAAACCCCCCCCCATAAATTACAAGTATTGGTGAGGATATATAGAAATTGGAACCATGAAGATTGCTGGAGGAAATATAAAATGGTGCAGCCACTAGAGAAATCAATATGGCAATTCCTCAAAAAAAATTAAGATAGAAATGCCGTATGATCCAGCAATTCTACTTCCAGGCATATATCTACAAGAACTGAAACTAATCTCAAAAAAAATTGCATTCCCATGTTCATAGAAGTATTATTTGCAATGGACAAAAAGCGGAACCAATCCAAACGTGCAAAATGATATATACACTCAATGGAATATTGTGCAGCCTTGAAAAGGGGAAATTCTCACACATGCTACAACATGGATATACCCTGAGGCCATTATGCTAAGTGAAATATTCCAGTCCCAAAAGGATAAATAATGTAGGATCCCACTCAAATGAGCAACCTAGAGTAGTCAGATTCATAATAACAAAAAGTAGAAGTGGAGTTGCCAAAAGCTATAAGGAGAGGAAAATGGAGTTATTTTTAATGGGTACTGAAAAGTTCTGGAGGCTGGTTGCACAACTATGTGAATATACTTAACATTACTGAACTGTACAGTTAAAAATGGGTCACAAGGAGGGGTGTCTGGGTGTCTCAGTTGCTTAAGTGTCTGGCTTTTTCTCAAGTGTATGACTGTGCCTCTCATGGTTCATGAGTTCGAGCCCCATGTCAGGCTCTGTGCTGACAGCTTGGAGCCTGGAGCCTGATTCGGATTTTGTGTTTCCCCCTCTTTGGGCCCCTCCCCTGTTCATGCTCTGTCTCTCTCAAAAGTAAAAACATAAATTTTTTTTAAAGGGTCACAGGGTAAATTTTGTGTTATATATATTTTGCTACAATTAAAAATTAAAAAGATGTAGGGGCACCTGGGTGGCTCAGTCGGTTAAGCGTCCAACTTCAGCTCAGGTCATGATCTCACAGTTCGTGGGTTCGAGCCCTGCATTGGGTGCTCTATGCTGACAGCTAGCTCAGAGCCTGGAGCCTGTTTCAGATTCTGTGTATCCCTCTTTCTCTGACCCTCCCTGCTCATGCTGTCTCTCTCTCTCAGAAATAAATAAAAACATTTTTAAAAAATTAAAAAGATGTAGTTATAAAACCAATAGTAAAGAAGCTTAATACAACTCTATACATAAAAACTATGTAGAAAATATATTAGTGACAGAACATCTAGAACATACAGAGAAAGTCTAAACTGTCCACATTTTAGTGGATCTGTAAGTCTGCACTTCTACATACACTCCTTTGGTTCTCTGTTGAAGAGTACAAACTTTGGATTTCTCTTTTTTGATCCCAGTTCCTTGAGTCTTATCAGCCTCTTGTTTCCCTCGGGCCCAGAAATCACAAAGAATTATCAGTCCATGAAGATAAATACCTCTGTATTTTGGCCACTCTATCTAACCTCCAGCTCATAAGGGGCTTTTGTGTTAAAACTTTTCTGTAAGGGGGAGGAAAATGAAGAGAAAGGGAACCATAGTTCTTTTATAAAAACTCTTCCTTTAATATGGGAAAGTGATATTCCTCACCCTCCATCAATAAATGACCTTTTCATGGGATTGTTTTTCAGTAGTGGAGTAGATTATTCCATTTATCTGATCTCCCTGTGACTACCAGTTTATATTCACAGGACAGCTGTTCGCAGTACCTGGAGGGGCTAGTGTCCATGGCCTCAGAGCATCATTGCTCTTTTTCTATTGGCTTCTTCAACTATCCTGCCTGAAACCTTGACCTTATTAGCAAATCAGGCCACGGATTCAGCTTTCATTCTTTTATATTTCTTCTCCTTATTGATGGCAATCTAAAGCTAGAATTAATTTAAATATGGAAAAGGTAGCCTAAATACCCAACACTACCAAAAGAGTTGATTCAATTATGCTAGGTTAGCTCCACTGAGTGCTATGAAGCTTTTGAAATTATTCTAAGAGCCATTTAAAACAACTTAAAAGTCTATGATGAAAACAGAACTACCATATGATCTAGAAATTCCATTTCTGGGTATTTATCCCAAGACAGTGAAAACACTAACTTAAAAAGATATTTGCACCCTCATGTTCACTGCAGCATTATTTACAATACTCAAGATATAGAATCCATCTGTGGATGAATGGAGAAGAAAATGTTGTAGATACATACAGTAGAATATTATTGAGCCATAATAAATAAAAGCTTGGGGCACCAGGATGGCTCAGCCAGTTAAGCTTCCAACTCTTGATTTCAGCTCAAGTCATGATCCCACAGTTCATGATATCGAGCCCTGTGTCAGTCTCCACACGGGGCATGGAGCCTGCCTGGAATTTTCTCTCTCTCTCAAATAAACAAATAGGGATACAAATAGAGGAATACAAATACCATATATCTCACTTAAATGTGGAATGTAAACAAACAGGGGCGCCTGGGTGGCTCAGTCAGTTTAAGCGTCCAACTTCAGCTCAGGTCATGATGTCATGGTTAACGAGTTTGAGCCCCGTACCAGGCTCTGTGCTGACAGCTAGGAGCCTGGAGCCTGCTTTGGATTCTGCATCTCCCTCTTTTTCTGCCCCTCCTTCACTCGAGCTGTCTCTCTCTCTCTCAAATAAATAAACATTAAAAAAATTAATAAAAAAAATAAAAAACAAGCTCAAATATTGGTGGTTGCCAGGACTGGGGCGTGGGAGAAATGGGTAAACAGAGTCAAAAGGTATTAACTTCCCATTATAAAATAAATAAACCATGGGAATATAATGTACGGCATGGTGACTGTAGTTAATAATACTATATTGCATATTTGAAAGTTACTAAGAGAGCAGATCTTAAAAGTTCTCAACACAAGAAAAAAAATTTTTATAGCTGTGTATGGTAACAAACGTTAACTAGACTTACTGTGTTGATCATTAGAGTCCACAAGTATTGAATCATTATGGTATACATCAGACACTCATACAATGTTATAAGCCAATTATACCTAAAGTTTTAAAAGTTTATGATATATTAAGTGCAAAAAAAGTAGATTAGCCTATGTCTAGGCACACTATAAAACTAAGACTAGGGTGGGACAAAAAATTCTAAATTAATTGTGCTACAGTAGCAAAAGTATTGGTGAATTTTTTCACCTACATCTATCAATCGTAATCATGTGCTTCATTTTTTAACAATAATTATAAAGAAAATCTCATTTAACATTTCAGCCTCATTCTATTGCTTCAAAGACAAAAATGATCTAAAAGAGGTCCTCACCCATGGAGCTATGTTCAATATTCAATTCCCTACATGGAGAATATATTGAGTATGGGGCTAACCACTCCATCAGTTTCCATCTTTTTCCTGTTAAGCAATGAGTTAACTGTTATAATTTTATCTGACTTTTCTTGAATTTCTATGCCCTTTGCCATGTTTATCACCATGGAATTTTTCATTTTACTTCTGTGGTTAGAACACTCCAAAGGAGGGGCGCCTTGGGTGGCTCAGTCCTTTAAGCAGCTGACTTCAGCTCAGGACATGTTCTCATGGATCATGAGTCCAAGCTGCTATCAGGCCCTGCGCCAACAGTGTGGAGTCGGCTTGGGATTCTCTCTCTCCCTCTCCCTCTCTGCCCTTCCCCTACTCGTGCTTTCACTCTCTCTCAAAATAAGTAAATAAACTTAAAAGAAAAAAAAGAACATTCCAAAGGATAAGACCTTATCTTGGGATAATACCTGAATGATTAGGAGGTTCATAAGAACACTACAAAAGCTGTCATTTAATAGAATCACTTATCAAAAGATAAAGCCTCTATTTAAGATAGAAAATTAGACAATGTTAGAGCAAGAAAACTTTGGATATCAGTTGGGTATCTTTGAATATCATCATCCCACTTTAAAGAAACCAGAGGCCCAGAATGATGAGGTATGTCTTACAGAGCCCCGCAGCTGCAGAGCGGGGACTGTTGGCCCAGATGGCCCGATTTCCCCTCTACTATGCCAGCTGCTTCCAGAAAAGGGAGCTTCCAGTAAACTGGAGAGGGGCCTCCAGGACAACCAGCAGCAAGCATCAGAAGAATTAAATTGTGATAAAATTTCAACTTGAAAGAGGAGGCATGGAAAGTCACAAACTAAAACTGGAAGCGTACTTGCTTTGTGCTGCTCTGAAGCTCTACTGATGGTTCATGTTTTTCAGATACAGACTTACTCAGATATAATTCACACACTGTCTAATTCACCCACTTGACGCACACAGTTCACTGGTTTTGAGTATATTATAGAGTTGTGCAACCAATACCACAATATTCAAACATTTTCATCGCTCCAAAAAGAAATGTCAGATGCTTTAGCCATCACACACTCACACACACACACACACACACACACACACACACCCCAGTTCTCCCATCCCTAAGCAACCACTAGTCCACTTTCTATCTTTATAGATTCACCTGTTCACAATATTTCATATAAATGGAACCATACAGTATGTTGTCTTCTGCAACTGGCATCTTTCCCTTAGCCTCACGCCCCAAAGGCTCGTCCAGGCTGCAGCATGTGTGGTTCCTCCCCTCCTCTGAGCCATCACCCAGACCCCCGCAGTCCAAGTGCTGTGTCCTTGCAATGCATACAAATTAACATAGGCAGATGCGCACAGGGAAAGGACAGGAAAGTGGTGTAGGAAAAAAAAAAAAAAAGATTTCCAGGCTTTTGCTTTTCATACTTACTTTCATTTTGTAAAGCAGCCTCAGCCTTTTCAACAGTTACCAACAGATTTTCAGAAAGGTCTTTTCTCTTGCTCACGATTGGAAAACCGTTCCAGACATACATCATTTCCTAACAAGGAAGAATGAAAAGCCATTTGCAAATTACGCAAGGTTATTCAATGTCCTTAACAAAAACGAAACTACTCTCTTGGTTGCTAGGGGTCTCGACAATATTCTGAGATCACTCTCCTTGGCTTTCCTCATTTGGAGTGTAGGGAATATAATTTCCCCTTTTCTCGTTTTATTATATGCTTTTTTCCCTTTTATATCATGAAGTAATTCAATATATATATTATGTTTTTGCTGAAAAAAATGTACTCGTTCATTTAAGCATCTACTGGTATTCAGTCATTTTGGAAGATAATAGGTTACAAATATAGAAATAAACAATACTTTTTAACTGATACTATGAACAATTGTATTTTATATACATTTTTGTCGTTATTTTTAAGTAAAGGGAAACATCTTAAAATATCTGCCAAGTGTTTATATAAAATGTTTCCAAGGACTTCACTGGGAATGAACATAGAAAATATTTTAATGGTTCTTTTATACCATTAAAAACATGTGACAGTCCAGCAATGCAATCCAATATGCAGAAAATGCATTCATTTAAAGGCCATATGGCTGAATGACAGCCCCGAAAATGTAAACTAATGATTTCTCATTGCAAATTACATTTCATAGGCTAGCAGATGAGAATTTTTTTGGACCAAAAGCAAATATGCTTTTGCTTGAAAATATTTTTCTAACTTTCCTGGTAGTACAGTTCACATTTTTAAGGGTATGAAATAAGCAGGGTAATTAGTATCTTTTGGAGATAAACGAATTTTAAAGTATGATAAAGATGTTATTTGAACAGCTTCTCACAGGGAAGTAGTGGAAACGAGAAAAACACATTTGAGTGACAGCAAAGTTATCTCTACTCTACGGCACTGAAAACTAAGATCATAACGCTCATTTTTTTTTTTTTATATCTAACAGTTTCTTGTTGCTAACAGTGTAAGAGCTCGATTCAATAATTAATGGAATAGTTAAGTGATGATTTTTTAAATTTTGTTTTTATCAATAGACTTTTTTATCAGAAAGGGGCATCCCGGTGGCTCAATCCATTAAGTGTCTGACTTTTGATTTCGGCTCAGGCCATGATCTCATGGTTTGTGAGATTGAGTACCATGTCAAGCTCCGAAGTGACACACAGAGGCTGCTTGAGAGTCTCTCTCTCCCTCTCTTTCTGTCCCTCCCCTGTTCGCACACACTCTCTCTCTTCCTCTCTCGAAATAAATAAACTTTAAAAAAAAAAAAAGAAGGCAAGCTCATATCTGAGATTTTATGAAAAACAGCATTTTGGTGAGATTTCCTAGTTACCACAAATTAAAACCAATTCTACCCCCTTAAACCTGCAGAAAGAAGTGCAGTGTGTCACCCTAAGCCCTTAATGATCAAAGCAGAGTATAGTTATGTATACACCAGCATCTAAGTTCTAGGGCACAGAAAGGACTATTATGCTTTAGAACATTCTTGTAAAAGTTCTACGACACAGAGAAAATTTTCCATTGTAAATCACTTGATAGAAATCAATCAGGGACAGATCTAAAAGCTGCAACTGGTAAAATGGCAGCAGACTCCAGTGTTAGCTGGAAAGGGGGATGTTTGGTCATTCTTGTGATGTGCATGGCATTCCTATTTCTCTCTATGCTCAGATATGATTGTAAAGTGGCCACATTTTTGTGTCACTCTATCACAGGCACAGAGTAACTTGGTCTGATGGTGGTGCTCTCAGAGATATTTTAAGCGGAGAATATGCGGACCCGGTGACTAGGTATAGGCTAGCTCCTATCTGACACCAGCTAGGGGCTGCAACGCTCTTTCTCACGGACTATACAAAGAGCTCCTATGAGTTAAAGACAAACAACCTCATGAAAAATTATAGTAGTACATGCACAAGTCACAAAAGAAATAAAAATGAATCAGCACATGGAAAGATGCTCAACCATACCGACAGGGAAATGCAAATTAAAAGAGCAAAACACTGTTGGTAGAAATTTAAACCAGTACAGCCTTTCTGGAGGGCAATTTGGCAATGTCAAAAGAGTAGATGCATATACCCTTCAATCAGGAATTGCATTTCTAGAAATCTTTCCAGAGAATTATGTGACTGTGCACACACAGAAAAGCAATGTAACAGAATATTCATTATGGCATGTTTGTAACAGTAAAAACTGGACACTAAATGTCAAAGGGGAGTAATTGAATAAACTCTGAAATAGGAAAAAAAATAAGTCGGAACGGACTTTCCTGTGCTATGTGACACCTGTGTAAAACCAACGCCCCAAAGAGCCAAAATCGTTTGAAAAATTCAGGACTTTTTAAAGAAGTCTTCGTTAAGAAAACTTAAGTTGAAAATATGCTTTTCATGAAGCCTAGCCTAAAGAGCATGATGATTAAGAATAGGTGCTCTGACACTGTACTGCCGAATACAATAGCCACCAACCACTTAGGGCACTTGAGCATCGAAATGTGGCTTGTGGCTTGTCCAACCTGAGATGTGCCCTAAGAGGGAAATACACACTAGATTTCAAGTAATTAGAACAAGAAAAAAGAATACAAAATATCTCATTAAGTTTTTATTGGTTACATGTTCAAACAACAACATTTTATATATATACTGGATTAAACAAAATATATTCTAAAATTATTTTCATGTTTCCCTTAATTTTTAAATTTTTTTTACCTTTTAATTTTTAATGTGGCTACTACTAGAAAAGGTAGAATCATATATGTGGCTTGCATTAGAACTCAACTTCAAGTAAGCTGACTCACCTCTCTGCCTGAATTTCCTGATCTGTAAAATGGGGCTACAAAGAGAAAGTGCCCTTATAATTACTGTAAGAACTAAATGATACATTTTTTAAAATAGCCTTTCAGAAAATATTAAATTATATACATACATATTTTTTTTAACTTTTTAATGTTTGTTTTTGAGAGAGAGAGAGAGACAGACAGAGCATGAGAATCTCAAGAAGGCTCCAGGCTCTGAGCTGTCAGCACAGAGCCTGACACGGGGCTCAAACTTCTGACCTGAGTTGAAGTCAGACGCTTAACCAACTGAACCACCCAGGTGCCCCTAAATAATATATTTCTAAAATACCATAATTTCTAGAACATACCAAGTGGTAAAAAAAAATTGGCTATAATTTTTAAGATTACTCAATTTTTAATAATTTATAAATCTTCACCTTATAAACACCCTCACAATGGCTTTTAATTGAGCTAAACTTCACAGCAAAGGCTAGGTGTGCTCCCAGCTGCTATGAACAGACAATTCATTTCTAAAACACAAACAGTAAATAAAATAAAGGCAGATACCAGGGCAGGCAAGGTGAGCTTCACAGGGGCAGGCAATGAGGTGGAGTAACGACGGGACTTCCTCACAGCGAACTTCTCGGTAGGGATGGATTTCCCCGCAATTCTCTGCTTCAAGCTCTCCACCCGTCTGCCAAGAGCCCAGCCCCAGCCCCAGCAAAAGGTCATTAGAACGCATACGTTATCAGTGCCTATAGTTCACGCTGCGCTCCCCAGACCAGCAGCAGCAGCAGCATCTGGAAATCTGTTCCAAATTTTCAGACTCCACCACAGACCTCCTATCAGTGACCCTAGAGCTGCACCCAGCAATCTGGAGGTTAGTGGGTCCTCCAGGTGATGTGGACGTGTGCTCAAATGTGAGAACCACTGGGGCACCTTGGTGGCTCGGTCAGTTAAGCATCTATCTCTTGGTTTGGGCTTAGGTCATGAGCTCACTGTCCTGAGACTGAGCCCTGCCTAGGTCTCCATGCTGACAGGGCAGAGCCTGCTTGGGATTCTCTCTCTCCCTCTCTCCCTGCCCCTCCACCACTCACTCACACGCATACATGCATGCTCTCACTCTCTCTCTCTCTCTCCAAATAAATGAAGTTAAAAAAAAAAAAAAGTGAGAACCACTGATTCACACATCCTTCCCTCTAGTTAACGTAGCTAATGTCTTAACCTACCAAACACAATCAAAGAAATCTAGATATAAAATTGGCAATTTCCATAAGTAAGCAAGAAAAAGTGCGAAGTATTTACTTACACCGTGGATGCCCAGAGAAAGGAAAAGTGGGTATGGTACATTCCCTATTCTTATCTATTCCTACCTAGTCCTGCCTCTTTCCTATGGCACAGATCTGTAAGATCATATGCCTCAAAAGACAGCTGTCGATTAACGTATTCTCGGAGCCAAAGTTTACCAAACATAGGCTATTTTGAAAATACTCAGCTAAAGTTATGCGCCATGTTTACAAACTTCCTCTTAAAAGTCTAAGGAATCCCAACTGTGGCACTCACGAGCCCAGGAAAACGAGAGTAGGATGCAGAGACTCTGTTCCCAGAGCACTTTCTTGCACACAGATTTATAAGTGCGTCCAGCAGGCTGCTGCTCAGGGAAATATCCGGTTACATCACTGAAAGACACAGTCAGATGAAGCAAGAGAAAAAAAACATGGCGGTTAGAGGACAAGACTGTGTCCGGTTACTTCTGGGCACAATTTGGGGATATGAATTTGAAAGCAGAATGCTCGCGGCTGGCTTGATGTTTGGCCACATCAGCGGAAGAGGCGGTGGGAATGAGACGTGGGGGCTGAGGTGGGAGAACAGGAGCCCGCAGTGCACAGGAGGCCACGTGGGTTCAACACCACAGAGTCTGGATGAAGAAGACACTCATTTGGGCAACTCTCCTCTCATTATCCCAACAGATTAGACGCTGTCATACAGCAGACCTCGAGCTTTCTCCTGAAAATGAGACTGATGGCATGTTTCACAGAAATTGCCTTGATAGGAAGAAAATGCATTCTGAGGTGGAGGAAATACAGGAGAGACTTAAAAGATTTCATTATATCTTAATAATATTCCGTTCCATTCCTTTTGTTGTTTGTGTGAAACAAAGGTGGCATGTAGCCTACCATGGCTTCCACGGAGGTTGATTCCACAGTTAGCAAGCATGGTCCTATTTTCAAAGAGAGCTTTTAAAAAGAAGATGAAAAAGCGGTCTTAGTCACATCCACAGATTTGCTCTGACAAGCCTGATGGTTCGGCTAAGATGTTATTTCTCATAACGTGGGCAGAGAATACAGAACTCCATGTAGAAGGTTTTGCCGTTAGTTACGTCTGAAGAAGGTAGCAGAGCTTCTCTGTTCCTCAACTTTCTCAGCCCCAGGGGCCATCTCCTCCCCTCTACCAGAGCTGCCCACCCTGCAGTTGTGCCTGAGCCCACTTCATCACCTGCAACTTTTCTACTCAAAGCACAAACTCAAGCACACCACTTGGAATACCCTTCTCCTCATTCTAACTTGGCTGTTCTGGTAAGACTTTCAGTCTACTTGCCCTTCAACTTTCTCCCTATCCGCAGTCTCCTTCTCTCTCCCTGTCCCTGCTGATTCCTGCTTAGGTTGCCCTGTCCTTTACTGCTGCACACAATGGCCTCAGCCTAAACTCCCTTGTCCACCATCTAGTCGCTACTCGTCTGGCGAAAACCCAGTGCTGGATAACCCGCGGTGTCCGCCTTCCCGCACCTGTGCTGACAGCACACCGATGTCACTGGAAATCCATCAGCACCCACTGCACATGGGCCCTCGTGCTAGCTGCTGTTCCTCCTACGGCGCTCCTCTCACCGCCTCACTGTCCCACTCCTGCAACAAAGCCTCAGAACATTCTCCATCCTCCTCACCCTCCAGGCCACTCCGTTCTCTGACCTCACTCTCTAGAGATGACCCAGCCTCCTAATCTAGGTCTGAGAGAGAAGAAAGAAAGACTGAGCCCCACGTCAGGCTCTGTGTTGCCAGCTCAGAGCCTGGGGCCTGCTTTAGATTCTGGGTCTCCCTCTCTCTCTGCCCCTCCCTTGCTCTCTCTCGCTCTCTCTCTTAAAAATAAGCATTAAAAAAAATTTTTTTTTTAAATCCGTGTATAACTGTTGTGACTCCCTCCAAATTTAACTACTAATAGCTTTCTGTTGAACAGAGCCTTGTAGATAACATAAACAATTGATTAACACATATTTTGTATGTTGTGTGTATTTTTTTTTAATATTTTTTTATTTATTTCTAGGAGAGAGAGAGAGAGACAGCGTGAGCAGGGGAGGGTCAGAGAGAGAGGGAGACACAGACTCTGAAACAGGCTCCAGGCCCTGAGCTGGCAGTCAGCACAGAGCCCAATGCGGGGCTTGAACCCACGAACTGCGAGATCATGACCTAAGTGAAAGTCGGACGCTTAACCGACTAAGCCACCCAGGCGCCCCAGTATGTTGTGTGTATTAATACCATATTCTAACAATGAAGTCAGCTAAAGAAAATACTAAGCAAATCACAAGGAAGAGAAAATACAGTGTCAGTATTGTACTGTATTTATTAAAAAAAAAACCAACGACAACAAACCTGCGTATAAGTGGACCCACACAGTTCAAATTCATGTTTTTCAAGGGTCAAGGGGAGGGTCAAGGGTACCTAAAATGTAGCATAATGTCCTATCAAGTATCACCTTTTAGTTCTTTAATGCGCAGTGCTCCTTCCTGCGGCTGGGTCCTCTCGCTGGCTGTTCCCCTGGTCTGAAACTGGATCACTGCAAATCCCTGTGGCCTCAGAGCTCCTACTCCACCTTCAGACACCATCTCAACCGCCACCGCCTCTACGTTCTTATACGTGCTTCTCCGGCTGGGGGATGGCCAGGGGATAGTGGGTAGTGTTGGCGGTATAGCTTCTGCCTTGCTTACTGTAGTCTCAATCCCCAAGAGAGGAGAACATACCAGGTTTGCTCAGGAAGACTGAACATGGGGAGTTTAAAATGCTTTCACACATCCAACTGAAGGGGGCAAGCAGAAGCTGGATATACAGGTCTGGAGCTCAGTCAGGGAATCTGAACTAGGGATTTAAACTTGGCCTGGCTGAGATTTCCCAAGCATGAGGCTCCAAGACATCAACATTGAATATCTGGATAAAATAGGATGAGCCTCCAAAGATACTAAGGTGGAATGGCAAGAAAAGTGGTAAGAAAATAATTAGTCAGATATTATAATTTTGCAATTATTTATTTGCATTATTATTTCATTGATGCCTGGTTCCACTACAAGATCATAAACTCGAGGACAGGAGCCATGCCTGTGTACTCAGCATCTAACATGGCATCCTTCATACAGAAGGTGCTCAAAAATAAGATTACAGCTGATTTATGGACACTTATCTACACAAAGTTAAAAAGATTCGCTCACAAAAGACATTCTGTGAATGTGGTTTTAAGGGTTCCTGCGTCGAATGAGTAGAAATTGAAGAAAATATGAAGGTAAAGCACGGGAGGGGACTGAGGGGAAAAGAAAGATGTGTTCAGGATCCACATTACAACACCCGGGCCCTGCTTACCTGAATAAGGTTACTATATCTTCTTTAGTGGCTACTACATCCTCCTCTGGAAGCATACTCAAAATTGCAGCTTTCAAGAATACATATGTTGCCTTTAGGAAAAGAAGAAGAGCAGCTGGTTATATATAGGGCTCCTCTAGGTATGTGACATTTTTATCTTGCAAGTCAGGAATGACCTACAGACTGCCTAGGTGTAATACTTGAAAAATCATCAAAGAAATACAAGAAATGTAGTCTTATACAGCCTGTTCCTATTGAGAATAACAATTTGAGGTTAACTTTGACCATTTTCCTATTATACAGCTGTAGCCTTCATGGGTGAGAAAGAGCACAGAATGAACAAGAAATCCTCACCTCATTTCTCCCAACTTCTCACAAACAGATCAGAATTCATTTTAATTATGAAAAGCTTTGGGGCACCTGAGTGGCTTAGTCAGATAAGCGTCCGACTTCGACTCAGGTCATGATCTCGATTCGTGGATTCAAACCCCATGTTGGGCTCTGTGCTGACAGCTCGGAGCCTGGAGCCTGCTTTGCATTCTGTGTCTCCCTCTCTGTCTGCTCCTCCCCTGCTTGTGCTCTGTCTCTTTCTCTCTCGCTCAGAAATAAATAAACATTTAAAAAAAGGAAAGAAAAACTGTCATCAGAGCATCATAAAGTCTACAGGAAAAATTATCAAAGGCTATTGATATTTAATAACTTTTTTTAATTTTTAAAAATGTTTTTATTTATTTCTGAGAGAGAGAGAGAGAGCAGGGGAGGGTCAGAGAGAGAGGGAGACACAGAATCTGAAATAGGTTCCAGGCTCTGAGCCTGCTGTCAGCAACAGAGCCCGACGCAGGGCTCAAACCCACAAATCCTGAGGTCATGACCTGAGCCAAAGTTGGATGCTTAACCAACTGAGCCACCCAGGTGCCCTGATATTTAATAACTTTTAAACGTAAGTGCATTTCATCCTCAGAGGTAAAGATTCTTCACTGAAATCGACTGTTTGGATGGCTTTTGGAGCATGTAGTAACTGAGGGAAGTACTTGTAAACAGAAGTACTTAATGCCTATTTCCTCCTTTGACGAACCTTGAAGTTGAGAAAATAATGTTGATGTCATACTACTGAACAAACAGTCCTCAATAAAAATCACCCTGGACACTTATTAGCAAAGAGATAACATCAGTGAGAGCACAGCACTTTACCTTGGACCATTTACTCTCTTTGCAAAGCAGATCGGAATAATAATACGCCTCCATCCAGTTTTGTTGGAACACAGAGATCCACATCAGCTCCCAGTAACAGAGATGGTGAAACTGTTTCCATTCTTCTTGAACTGAAATGCATTTTCGAAGTATCTCTTGTGCCTACAAGTCAATTGCATAAAGCTGATCATCCAGATATTAGACAAGGAGATAATAACCTAATGGAAAAATACATAAATCACTTTGTACAAAAAGAACAAAAGCATCACTCATTAAACCACTCAATGTGATGAGATATGTCCTTTTCCCTACATGCAACGATACACTTAAGTTCTGCCTCTTGATTTAGCTTCCTGAGCAGCCGTGGAACTTTACGATGTGGGAGTAGTGAAGCTCCTTCCCAACTAAGATATAAAATGCAGAGACGTCCTTTACAAAAAGACTGAAAATAGAAGTCAGAACTTCCAAAAGTTAAAATATACCTTAAACAAAGTTAAAGGCAGACTGAGAGAAGATATCACTATATCCACACCTGGCCAAGAACTAACCCTTATCATACAACAATTTTATAAAATCCTTAAGAAAAAGACAACTCAATGGGAAAATTGTCAAAGACACAAATGGGTAAATCAGAGAAAAAGATATATAAGTGACAAATATACATATGAAAAAATTCATAAACTGAAAAACACAAATTTAAAAATTAAATTATCGTACTTTGGCCATGACATGGGAAAAAACGAAAACAGATAATGTCCAGAGTTACCACAGTGCATTGGAAACAAGTATTCTCATAACTATACAGGAGTTTAAGTGGAATAACCTTAAGTTAGGAGGGCAATTTGGCTAAATTTATCAAAATACAAACATCTTTGGCCTTGGAATCCTGGTTATCAGAATGTATCTTATATAAATGCACCTGTGCACAGATATATACATGTGATGATGGATACAAGGGCATTATTTATAGTAGCCAAATGTCTACTAATAGCGAACTGCTTTAGTAAGTATCATATATCCATCTCATGGAATGAAATCCAGCCATCAGAAAGAATGAAAGAGATTTAGATATACTGAGCTGGAAAGAAACCCAAGATGCACTGTAAGCAGGAAAAAACAAATCAAAGAAAAATATGTATGTCTGACTTCATTGGCATAGAAGAAATTTTATTTGTGAGTATATTTATATAAAGAGCTCCACACTCTTCTTCAAGAGAATCAGTGAATAATTTCCTTTGATGAGGATGATGTGTAATACGTTGAAGGTGAAGTTTTACATTGTGCAGGGGCTAACTTCCAAAGTCAATACGTAATACAGAAACTATGACATTGTCTGAAAATCTCTTAAAGGTGCCCATCTGTACTTCGTATATTCTACCCTGAATAGCCTCATGTACTCACAGTCAAAGTATAGACTATATTCAGTAATCTATATACAGTAGATGCATACACTAAAATAAAATGCATCTGAATAATATATTTTTCCTTTATTTCTGCCTAGTGCATATAGCTGAATTTACTTACGTTGAATGAGTATAATGCAGCTCTCCCTTACAGACAACTCCCCAGGTTATTCTCCCAAAATAAATTACCTTTTCCACATTTCCCTTCAGCAGCTCTATCCGGGCATGATAAAATAACATGAGGGAGCCCTGCGGAGAAAGGAAGAAGACTGATGAGTGGTCAGCCCTGCTTCATCGGTTATGGTTGAAACATGCACTTGAAATTCTAAGCATACATTTGGAAACTGCTGGAGGAAGGGTGCAAGGAGACTCTCTGCTTCCAGAACATTCACTTCTCCTGTACCTAGAAATTCAACTGAAAAAGCCTCAGTCTTCATGTAACAAGATAGATACTTATTAGTAATTCTCCAAATGTCATTAAATTCTAGCAAACACTTTTTCGTGGAAAAGATAAAAACTATTAATTTGGCCTTTTTGCATTTGGGAAATAAAATAAGACAAGTCCCATCTCTGACTTCAGTTTAAGAAAGCTCTAGCACAGGCTAATTGTTAACAATGGAAGGAGGGGTCATTGAGCCCTAATTGGGCTTTGTGGTTTTAACAGCAATATTCACTTATCTTAGCCAAACATTCAATTTCCTAGGCAAAAAGATACCTAATATGAATATGCTAAAATAATCACTAAGCAAACTTCATAGAACTTTTTAAGCCAAGAACAGATAAAAGAAAATGCGGTACAAGAAACCTTCCACCTCCTCTGCCAAATGTTACTAAAACAAATGTCACTATTTTCCAGCTTTACTCAAAAAAGGGAAAAAAAGTAAACAGATATAAACGACTAGCTCTTAGTGATTTTTTTCTAATGTTTTTAACTGAAGTATAATCAACATACACTGTGCTGCTGGTCTCAAGAGTGCAATCTAAATGTTTTACTTGCTCAGACGAAAGGTAATCAGCTTTCACTGACACAAAATGTGACGCAGTCCTTACCAAGTATCAGGGAGATATATGTGTGGAAAGCTAGAATAGTTAAGCAGCACAGCGGAGACCTCATGCTTCTTCCTGACGCGCCTTCCTGTAACTGCAGTAGCCCCAACTCCTGTGGGGAGCAAACGTGTTTCAGAAGGACAGAGCATGACTGAAAAATCACATTCAGACATGACACGGTGTTCACCTATCTCCCCACTCCATGAAAGCGGGCTTTATTTTTTAAGAGCTTAGAAAGGGGTAATGCCTGGGGTGCCTGAGTGGCTCAGTCAGTTAAGCATCCGACTTTGGCTCCGGTCACGATCTCATGGTTTGTGAGTTCAAGCCCCATGTCAGGCTCTGTGCTGACAGCTCAGAGCCTGGAGCCTGATTCAGATTCTGTGTCTCCCCCCTCTCTCTCTCTCCCATGCTCATGCTCTGTCTCTCTTTGTCTCTCAATAATAAATAGATGTTAAAAAAAATTTTTTATTTATTTATTTATTTTTCTTACAAATAGTTTACTGTCAAGAAAAAATTTTTTTTAAGTCTTTAAAAAAAGGGGGTAATGCCTAACCAGAAATAAACTTCACATTTTAAAATGGTGTGAAGATAATCTCACAAATTCTTTTATACCATGTGATTCTAGAGAGGGGATAAAGGCAGTGCTCATTTTATAGCAATGCTGCATTTCTCTAATAAAAATATTAACTTATTAAAAGATATTGAGGATCAAAGTTAAAGGCATTATGGTGGGCATGCACACACACAGTTTTGTCTTCAAAGACCCTTCCACCAAAATGCTATGTGAACACACAATTGTATTAGAGTATGGTGAGTGCCATAAAAAAGGTAGGTAAGTAAATGATTCTGAGGTAGGAATACTTGAGCCTCACTGGGAGAGAATAAGGAAAAGTGTGGGGAACAGCTGACATTTATCTCAAACCTAATGGATGGAGAGGATCTCAAGCAACATTATTTAGAAGGATATCCAAAACAGAGGCCAGCAGAAACACAGAAATGAAAAAGTACAAGGCCTGTTTGAGGGGAGAAAATAACAGTTTCTTATACTTGTTCCCCTATAGTTCTCAAAACATGCCCTCTTGACTAATAAAGACAGCTTTTGCAGTAAGACAACCCTGGCAGTGGCACACTGTGTATTATATTTAATAAATGTTATACAGTACGTGACAAGCACACAGAAATATAATGAATGAGGGGCGCCTAGGTGGCCCAGTCGCCTGAGCATCTGACTCTTGGTTTCGGCTCAGGTCATGGGTTCATGAGCTGGAGCCCTGTATCAGGCTCCATGCCGGCAGTGCGGAGCCTGCCTGGAATTAGCTTTCTCTCTGCCCCTCCTCTCTTTCTTTGTCTTTCAAAATAAATAAGTAAATTAAAAAAAAAAAAAAGAAGCATAATGAATTAAACTCGTGGAAAACGAATTTCCTTGCTTAGTTTTGTCATGAAACTTGTAAAAGTACAAAGAAGCCCAAAACACTACAACTATCCTTGATCCATGTGAATCATAAAATGTGAGACATGGACATCTAGCCTAATTTTCTGGTTTTACAGAACACTCTAGGGTTGCTAAAATGTTAAGGAAGCATATTCTAGCCACACGAGACTAGTAAAGTCCAGCAAGCAGCAACATTAGTAAAACATAATTTTTAATTCCAGAATTTAGGTATCAAAGATAAAAAGTTTTAACTTTCAATATAAATACCACCTCAACTCCTGAAAAGTATGATCAAGACCCCAATGGCTCTTTACTATCCTGCTAACAACTTGCCAATAATTGTCACGCTAGCTAAGGGGATGTAATGCATTGCCCTCATATCCAATAAATAATGTTTTCATCTTTCCTGACAAAATTCAGATAAAATTAAATTTGTACCCTGTTTCCAGAAAATCCTATAAATTCTAGTAGTCTGATAATCCGTGCGGGTAGAAGAGAGAGCATCTGCAAGAAAAAAAAATACAAGCATACTTATTTGTTAGTGTATCTAACTATAGAGAAATAAATGTTCACCTCCAAACAACTTAAAGTTTTAATAATTTGGTAATATGAAAAATTAGATCCAACTTTAAACCACTGTACATATCTCAATTATCACATATTGCATATTCAGTAATCACTACCTATGAATTAATTTCATTTACCGAAGACAATGAACCTAGAAAATTTACAAAACCAAACCAAAACAAACAAACAAAACCCTGGCCTTTTCAGGATGCTCTAAAGAATACACGCTCCTTTTATGGTGAATGATGAAGTGGTGAGAAGGCACTCCCTCAGGGCCCATTTCTAAACAAGGTTTCTCTTAACCTCCTTTCCCAGAAAGCGAGTCCACTGATTTCCATATAAAATGCAGGCATCACCCAAGAGTGAACAGCATGGTCCTATCGTCCCTTTCCAGGACGACCCTGAGGAGCAGTGGGGAGGGGCAAGCCAGCCAGGGCAGGACGTCGAGCGGTGCACCCGCTTGCTCGCTTCGCTTGGAAGGAGAGATGGCCACACGTGCAATTCTATACAGATTCACAGGCTGGGGCCAACGAGTTGGCTGAATGCTCAGGGATTTGGAAGGAGTATCACTGGGAAATCGATGACAAGGAGGTCTAGGGAGCACTAGAGCCCTTTCTGAATGAGCAAAAAACCTGAAGATATTTGTGTCCCATGTGACACCAAAGCCTGACTCAGCAGAGGAGGATTTTAATAACCAGATGAGGAAGATGACCTGTTCTACAGGTACCAGTCAGCCTCTCTCCCCAGGCACCCCTGTCATCGACCAATGGGCTCGTGAACAAAGAGGCCATGGTGATGTACATACTTGTGTGTATTATTCTCTTTACCACTTGATTTTCTCATCAATTCTAGTCAAACCTTGATCAACACCAAAATCTCTAAATAATATATCATAATTTGACAATACCCACTCAAACTCTTCATCTCCCTCATAGCATCAAACTCATTCCTCAAGCTATATCATAGCTGCCTCACCTATTTTCAATTCCAGAGACACCATTGCTAAAGCAACAGTATTTCTGATGGGAAAATGGAACCAGATTCCATGCTGCTTCTTACCCAAACTGCTACCAACCCACTCAGGTGCTGCAAGCTTCCCCTACTGTACAATCCAAAGAGACTCTGAGCATATGCAGAACATTACCACGCATACTGGCCAAGGTCACCACTGGGTCACAACACAGGAAAACGGATCTCACTCTAGCTACTTGTCAACCAAACCGAGCTTAGAGGGTCACACACAGTAGAGAAGGCACTGAACATCTTAGGTTCTTTTACAAAAGCTTCTGGTGGCTTTATAATTATTTACTTACCAAATTAAAGGCACCTATTCCAAGCTTGACACCCCCTTCAAACTCATAGAAGAACTGCTGCTCAACTTTGTTCTTCTGAATTACATGCAGGATAGAAAGACATTCTCTAGATTGAAGAAAAAAGTTACCGTATAAGTTTACTATGACTCTGATAATTAATGTTATGTTCACTCTCACGTGTACGCACTATAAAATAATTGTCATTAACCAAAATACTAGATGACTTTTAAGTGGAGGCAGCTGTGCTGAGATTAGCCTTAAGGCTCCTTGGGTAATAGTCATTAAGGAAAAACTGACACACCCATTTCTATACTGTTTATCAGGACCGATCTTTCTGGGCTGAAAGCAAGACAAAGTTGGAACATGAGCAAGCATGACTCCAGAGCCAAATGACCACAGGGCTGTGATCTCACAGCTTTCCAGCCAGGTTGCACAGAAGCCTTCCCAGATGTGCTCTGTCCCTCGGCTGCTGTGCACACTTCAGCAATCCTACCTTCCACCGAGGAACTGAGATGCTACCGCCAAAAAGATGTGAATTTCAGCATGATGGCCATGATCTCAAATAGACCAAATAAATGAGAGCTTGCCAGTAGGAAAGACTGAGAAAGGCCAGCAAGTTCCATCAAAACTGCACATCTGTCTTCCTTTTTTTCCTATTCTGTCCAAGTAAATCTTACAGATTTCTCATGTTAATTTCTTTTCGATGCATCTCCCCCCTCCCCTGCACATGCTCAAAAGGCAAATACTTAATCAGAGAAATATAAATTAAAACAATGATAAAGATAAAAGTTGGTAATGAACAGGAATTGCTTATCAAATTGACAAATATATTTTTAAAAGGTAGTAAGAAATAACCAGGTATCATGTAACACCTTGTGTGATATAATTATAAAGCATACAGCTTCACTTCTGATGTATTCTAGGCAAATTTATTTAACTGGAATCCAGGAAGCCTGTAGATCTAATTTTCAGTTTACAGAAAATATAAGGAGCTAGAAAAATGCTGTGGACTGAATTAATTATATACCCCCCTACCCTTCCACCTCCAAATTCCTATGTTGAAGCTCTATGTCCCAGTATGAGGATATTTGAAGACAGGGATTTTTAGGAGGTGTAAAAATCTTTAATTAAAGGTGGGGGGTCTTAATCTGGTAAGACTGGTGGCCTTAAAAGATAAAGAAGAGAGATGTTATCTCTCTCTTGGCCATGTGAGGGTCGAGCAAGAAGGTGGGCTGGCTGGCTGAGAGTCAGAAAGAGAGCTCTCTCCAGAACCTGACCATGCTGGCACCCTGATCTTGGAGTTCCAACCTCCAGAACTGTGAGAAAATAAAATTCTATTGTTTAAGCCACCCACTCTGTGACATTTTGTTCTGGCAGCCTGAATTGACTAAGACAAGAACAAGCTAAATGGAAACTCGAGAAAGCCATCAAACAAATCCGTGGGGCATTCTGCAGCACAACTGGCTTGGGCTTTTCAACAACCATCGTGAATAGAAAAATGGTTCCAGAATAAAAGATACTTAATGGACATAAACACAGGATGTAGTAGACAGTCTTGGGTTGCATCTTGATACAGACACACTAGCAGTAAAAGAAATTTGGGGCCAACTAGGAAAATGTGAAGATAGATTACTACATGAAATGAAGAAATACTGAAGAAATGAAGAAATGGAAAAGTAAAGAAAAAAGCAGGTTATGGGGCACCAGGCTGGCTCAGTTGGAAGACTGTGCAACTCTTGACCTCAAGGTCATGAGTTCAAGCTGCATATTGGGTATACAGATTACTTAAATATATAAAACTTTTTTTAAAAAGGAAAAAGCAGGTTACAAAAGAGTATGCACGTTAAAAAATACATATAACTTTTTTTTAAAAAGTACATATATCTTTACATTTATAGAGGAAAAATTCTGAAAGAATATATACTAACATGCTAGCAGCCATTATTACTGGTGAAAAGAATATGGGGGGTGTGTGTCAGTATTTGCTCATCGACATTCTCCTGTTTTCCTAAATATGTGTGCTGCTTTGTGATAATAAAGCATTTTAATTTTTTTAAAAAAATGTTAAGCCATTGCCGGCAAAGGAAAAGAACAAACAGACATCTTCATCTGCTTTGGTAAAAGGTGGTTATGGTACAGAGATTGGCAAGCTATTGGATATTGGATCCTAAGCATGGCCATTCATGCATTTATTGTCTACGGCTGCTTATACTCTACAGTCTTAGAATTGAGTAGTTGTGACAGAGATCTTAGAACTCACAGGCCTAACATATTTGCCATCTAGCCCTTTAAGAAAAAGTTTGTCCACCCAATTATCTTTCAGAATAATTTTGCAATATATATCAAAAATCTTAAACACATGCATACCTTTGACCCAATAAATCCAATTTTATTCTAAGGAAATAGCATGGATACACACAAAACTTTACCTATAAGGAGAGATACTGTATTACTATTTATAATGAAAATGTATAAACAAACTAAATAGGCAAAAACAGAAAATTAATTAAGAAGACAGTCACATGAGTGTATATATTTACACATACACACATATGGTATACCCACATAACGGGATGCTCTATAGCCATTAAAATCTGTGATGCACTAAAAATATTTAATGACCTAATATTTTGTGGCATGAAGTGAAAAAGGAAATTTCAAAATGACAGGAAGCATATGATTTCATTATATAAAAAGATAATTATAATTTAAGCTCATGCACATGCATTAAAAATTCAAACAACAATGGGGCGCCTGGGTGGCTTAGTCGGTTAAGCGTCCGACTTTCGCTTAGGTCATGATCTCGCGGTTCGTGGGTTCGGGCCCCGCGTTGGGCTCTGTGCTGACTGCCAGCTCAGAGCCTGGAGCCTGTTTCAGTCTGTGACTCCCTCTCTCTCTGACCCTCCCCTGCTCACGCTGTCTCTCTCTCTCCTAGAAATAAATAAAACATTAAAAAAAATTTAAAAAAAAAAATTCAAACAACAAAATGTCAATAGGATGGCAGGAGGCAGAGATGACGGTCAGAGTTCTTTCCTTCTTTAATAATATATAATAAACAAATATATAAATGTTCTATTTTCTGATAATAGATGTTTGTTACAAAATTTTCAAAGAACATGGAGGCAGTTGAAGTGCCTCTGCATGACTATCCCACAGAGAGATGGTCACTGGTAACAGTCTGGTATACAGCCTTCTGGGTGGTTTTATGCATTAGTAAAAATCCAATATTTAACAACCACAAATGGGATCATATAGCATATACTGTTCCATAGGTTATACTGATGATTTTCCATGAAAATGCATGAGAGCTACCTTATTTTTTTTAACAAATGCATAGCAGTCTATTCTATGGAATAATTTCTTTAACCAAATTCCTATTGTTAAATGTTTAAGTTGTTTCCAAAGTTTCCATAGTATAAACAACGCTGCTAAAAGTGAGCTTATATGTTCATCAAGTACTTTTCCTACGTCAAGTACCATAACTATAGGTAATCTATCACAAAAGAAAAGGGACTTCTGAGATAAAAGGTGATACACTTTGATTTTGATACATATGGTCAAATATCCTCCGAAAAATTCTATCAGTTTAGATTCCCACCAGCTTATGAGCTCCTCACACTGTCATCTGCCCTGAGTCATTTGTAACACGTTTCCATTGGTATTTTTTATTATGGTGTAGTTTGCCCTGATGAAAATTTAAACATCTATTTGGTAAAATCAGGCTTTTATGGTTCCTGATTTTATGTCACACTCAGAAAAGCTTCTGCAATTGACATCATGTATCTACTGATATGATACACTACAAAGGACACAATTGCACTTACGTGGTATTCCTGCCATAAATGCAAACTCTGGATTTAATCATAAGAAATATTATGGGGCACCTGGGTGGCTCAGTCGGTTGAGCATCTGACTTCGGCTCAGGTCATGATCTCATGGTTTGTGGGTTTGAGCCCCGCGTCGGGCTCTGCGCTGACAGCTAGCTCAGAGCCTGGAGCCTGTTTAGGATTCTGTGTCTCCCTCTCTCTCTGACCCTTCCCTGTTCACACTGTCTCTCTCTCAGAAATAAATAAAATATTAAAAAAAAAAAGGAAATATTAGATAAGTCCCCATTGAGAGATGTTCTACAAAATTAACTGCCCAGTATCCTTCAAAAATGTCAAGGTCATAAAAATAAAGACTAAGAGACTCTTCCAGATTATAAAAGACTGAAGAAACATAACACTACATGCAAGATCTCCAATCCTGGATGCAGTCCTGGACCAGATAGAGGACATCAGTAGGACAATTAGAGGAATCTGGGTAAGTGTTAGCACCGATGTTAATAATTGTATCATGGTCCTAAAAGACGTTAACATTTGTGGGACGCCTGGGTGGCTCAGTTGGTTAAGCATCCAACTTCGGCTCAGGTAATGATCTCAGGGTTTGTGGGTTCAAGCCAGGTGTTAGGTCTGTGCTGACAGCTTGGAGCCTGGAGCCTGCCTGGGATTCTGTGTCTCGCTCTCTTTCTGCCCCTGTCCTGCCTGTGTTCTCTCTCTTCCTCTATCTCTCACTCTGTCTCTCTCTCTCCCTCTCAAAAATAAACATTAAACTTTTTTTTATTTAAAAAAGATGTTAACATTTGTGAATCTGAATGAAGAGCATATAAAAATTCTTTGTAAAGATTCTGAAGTTATTTCAAAGTGAAAACTTGGTTAATACAAGTTTAAAGTCTTTTGTGCTTTAGGACTATAAAAAATACTTTCCTATATTTTCACTAATACTCATTTAAAAATATTTCAATATTGGGTAACCTGGGTGGATCAGGTGGTTAAGTGTCCAACTTCAGCTCAGGTCATGATCTCACTCACAGCTTCCTGAGTTCAGGCCTGGCGTCGGGCTCTGTGCTGACAGTTTAGAGCATGGAGCTTGCTACGGATTCTGTGTCTCCCTCTCTCTCTGCCCCCGCCCTGCCTGTGTTCTCTCCCCCCCCCCCCCCCCACTGCTCACACTCTGTCTCTCTCTCAAAAATAAACATTAAAAATTTTAAAAATATATTTTAGTATTAAATTGACATGGAATTTATTTTTATACTTTTTTCCACAATGAAGAACCAATTTGCCCGAAATGATTTATTAAAGTATCCATCTTTTACCACTGCTTTGAAAGATTTATATATATACATACATGAATTTCACATATTTTTAATTTCCAGGTTAACATCTGTGTGTGTCTGTGTATACAAAAATATATGCATGCCCACACCTGTGTAAACACACACACACACAGTCTGTTTCAATACTCTATCTGCTCCATGCCACTCATATATATGTTTGTGCCATTTTAAGACTACTTGAATTGGGGCACCTGGGTGGCTCAGTCTATTAACCTGAGTTCAGCTCAGGTCATGAACTTGCTGTCTGTGGGTTCAAGTCCTACCTCGAGCTCTGTGCTGACAGCTCAGAGCCTGGAGCTTACTTCAGATTCTGTGTCTCCCTCTCTCTGTCCCTCTCCTGCTCACGCTCTGGTTTTGTCTTTCTTTCTCAAAAATAAACATAAAAAAAATGTTTTAAAGATTACTTGAATTCCTTCTGTTTGTTTGTTTTTTTAACATTTTATTTTTTTGAGAGACACAGACAGAGCGTGAGCAGGAGAGGGGCAGAAAGACAGGGAGACACAGAATCCTAAGCAGGCTCCAGGCTCTGAGCTGTCAGCACAGAGCCTGATGTGGAGCTCGAACCCATGAACTCAAGATCATGACCCAAGCTAAAGTCAGATGCTCAATCAACTGAGCCACCCAGGCACCCCCCTTCATTCCATTTTTAAAATTTTTATGACTAAAAATGCAATTAGCTTTTTAACATTCTTTTATACCAGCTAAAAAGTATTTCAAGAGGAAAACTAAAAACAGTATGTCAATTCCCAAAGTTCCTGCCCACCTCCAGGATTTTGAATGGAATATAATTTTATTAAATCACTTTGTGTAAAAGTATCTCTTAAAACACTAAATCTTGGTTCTGCTCTCACTAATGGGGATCAGCTTCTAGTAATTAGATTAACTCTCCCATAGATAACAATTATAAACTTTAAAATTTAAACATTTATTTTTTAAAGTCTGTTTATTTTGGGGAGAAAGACAGGAAAGTGAACAGGGGAGGGGCAGAGAAGGAGAGAGAGAATCCCAAACAGAGCCAGACATGGGACTCAAACCCACAAACCATGAGATTGTGACCTGAGCCAAAACCGAGTCAGATGCTTAATCAACTAAGCCCTCTGGGCACCCCTTAAATATATATTTAAAATGTATTTTCAGGCACCGGGAAACGAAAACAAAAAGTAGGAGAAAACTGAAGAAGAATTAGCCTTTGAAAGATGAGAACATCTCTAATATGGACTTTACAGTTATATGGGTGGTCAGCCGAAAGCACCCTCCAGTCCACTCAATGTGGGGTACCTACAGCTGCTACAACTGATACAGAAAGCCACAGTCCTATTGCCTTAAAGTCAGAGGACAGAGTTCAAAACTGCCAGAGTGTCTATAAGGCAATAGGAAAATTTTCAGATAAGGGAGAATCACACAGGAGGGAAAAATCAAAATCAAATTCTTGTTGGACCCATGAACTATTGAAACACTGGAGAGATTCCAAAGAAAAGCAAAAGCAAGAGCACAGCAAAAGAACTAAGGGAGCCATGACTTCACATGCTACCTGCTTGTAGAGAGTTAAGAGTCTGGAGTCTAAGTCTAGTCAAATTAATGCCTCCTAGAACAAATATCAACACTCTTCCAAGAAGATAATAGAATCCAGAATCTCTACAATGAATCAATACCTAGTGCACAATTTAAATACTGTTGTCAAGAGAAGAAACAAAATAATATGACATACGGTCAAGAGAAAAAGCAAGCAATAAAAACTGACTCCAGGATGACCCAGAGATCCAATCTAAAAAAAAAAAAACCAACATATTTTTCAATAAACAGTACCACAGTGACCTGTCAAACAAAATCAGACTGACTATTATATGTCATTGGACCTTAGAAGAAGAAGAAACTGAGAATGTAGCAGAAAAAAATATTTGTAGAAATAATGGCCACAAATGTCTCAAAGCACACTTAAACCCATCACAGTCAACCTGCTGAGAACCAAAGGTCCAAAAGTCTTCAAAGCAGCCAGGAGAAATGATACATTACAGACAGGGGACTGGTAAAACATATAACAGCTGACTTCTGATCAGATACAACAGAGGCCATAATACAATGGACTGACAGTTTGAAGCGGTGAAAGAAGAAAAAAGAAAACTTTGTAACCCAGAATACTACCCTAAGCAAAAACAGCCTTCAAAAATGAAGATGTATTCAGATAAATGAAAACAGAGAGAATTGTTGAATGCAGACATGTACAACAAGAAATACTAAAAGGAATTCTTTAGTCCAAAAGTATACAGAAATGAATGAATACCAAAAATGGTAAATATATGGGTAAATAGAAAAATCTGTAAGATACGATGGTTTAAAGCAAAAGGTTGACACTGCACTGTGAGGTTTATAATACATGTGTATGTACTATCATAAGAATAGTATAAAAGACAAGAGGCAAATGAAATTATACTTCTGCAAAGTTCTTATATTTTATGGGCAACAGTAAAATATTAATTCTAAGTTGACCGTGGTAAGTTAAGAAGGATTTTATAATCATTAGAGCAAACTTTAAAAAACTAAAGTGGGCAATAGCTAAGAAAACAATAGAGGGATTGATTACACTGGAATATATATTTTTAAATTTTTATTAAGGTGAAAAGAGCCAAAAACGAAGTGGGAAAACCAAATGAGGCAAGAGAAAAAAATGGTAGCCATGAGTACAAACGTATCATTTGTTATACCAAATAAAAAAGCAAGACCCAACTATAAGCATCTATAAGAAATGCAACTTAAATATTAAAACAAAGATAGGCTTAAAATAAAAGAATATATGACATGCAAATACATTATAAAAAAGCAGGAGTAACTATATTAGTATCAGACAAAACAGACTTCGAGACAAGAAATATCATAAGGAGTTAAGAAGAGATATTTTTATAATGATTAAAACTTTAAGGGCGCCTGGGTGGCTCAGTCAGTTAAGCATCTGACTTCGGCTCAGGTAATGATCTCACAGCTCGTGAGTTGAGCCCCCCCGTCGGGCTGTGTGTCGACAGCTCGGAGCCTGAAGCCTGCTTTAGATTCTGTGATTCCCTCTCTCTCTGCCCCCCACCCCTCAAAAATAAATAAACATTTTTAAAAATGTTTTTTAAAGTTGAATTCGTCAGGAAGATAAAACAATTAAAATATATATAAATCTAATAACCAAGGTTATAAACAGAGAACTAACAAGAGAAATGGATGACTCCAGAATCAAAGTTGGAGACTTTTAACTCTGTGAACAAATGACAGAACTGGAAAAAAGTCTGTAAAGATACAGAAGATATGAACAACATTGTGGTCCACCTCCACTGAATAATTAAATCACTGCGGAAAACTTTTATCAAGCAGTGCACTGCTCTAGAGTCTGGACCAGAGACATACCTGTAATTTTAAATATATAAATTGATTTTAGGAAAGAGAAAATAAGATTATGGAATTAGAAATTGTGTTGGTAGCATTTTTTTCAGCTATTTTTCTCAAAATTGTATTTAAACTTAAATTCTGTTGTCCTATAGCACTGAATACATACTCAGTAAGCCCAAAAATCAAGTGCATTTTTACCAATGACAAATTAAAAAACCTAGCTGTACTTAATGAGAATTTTTTTAAAGTACAAAGTGGACACGGTATAAGAATCATGTAAAAATCACATCGTAATTTTTAACTTACTTGTATATTTGGTAACTTGTCCTAATTTTGAGTCCACCTTTGATGAAGTTGATCATATTTTCATCCTGAAAACAATTCAATTAAATAATTAGATCAGTTAGCAAAAGATTCTTACACTGTCCTCATAGCTGTGAATTTGTTTGATTAGAACAAAACCCTATCTTTTGAGGACATAATCTTTAAATTGAAACTTTCCCCTTGCTTGACATTTGAAATGCTGCTCTATAATTTGTCTTCCACGTTAGAGGGCAATAAAAAGAATTTTTAATATCTTTGCAATACTTCAAGTAAGTAATTAAGGAAGTAATCCTTACCAATTAGGGGTCAAATAAGTCAGTCCAAATCTACTATAATAAACATCATCTACTGTGCAATTTTCTTGGGTGCTCAACAGAATCCAAATAGTTGATTTAAAAATATGCCTTAAGGACAAGCTTTCCGATCCATCATACTCCAGTAAATGGAATGGTGGTTCTTCTTTTGCAGGGTACTTGAGCATTCAGCCTATTTAACACTGTAAATTTCACTACTACACATTTCCAAAATAAAAACCATTGATCTGGATTCTAAATTGATTGTCCCTAATATGCAATTTTGTTTGGGGGGAAAATTCACTTTACTTCTCTTTGCCTGATGGTCATCAACCATAAAATTGAGGCAGAGGGCCTAAATAAATGTAATTTTCAGGGTCAGCATTCGAGGATTCTACGAGAATCTCTTAATAAATCATATCTAAAACTGCTGCAAGGAAGTTAATCAACAGGTAGTGCTGCTAGAGACAATCCCATATTTCCCATTTCCATGGGGAATGTTTTCCTAGTCTATTGATAATGGAACGATGCTCTGGTATTTATTCTGTTCACTTCAGCATCCTTCTGAAGCAAGAGAAAAAGTTATTTTATTACATAAATTTCATTAATTATTAAAGCTTTAACATTCAAATTATTGTAAGAATCGAGAAGTACAAAATTCACTATGCAACATAAATGTTCATCTTTTTATTTTAAGAAGCCTTATGATTATACAGGTTCCAATACTGGCCAGGAAAGAATTTCTCAGATCACTTTAAAATCTGCCTCCAATAATAATATTTCATTTCATGATTCACCAAACATTGACTGAATGCCTATTTTACACCTGCCATCCGAATGCAAAATCAGTCAAAAGCAATAAGGCTAAGGGCTAAGGGCTGGAGTCATGCACGCGGGTGGAGAGGCACACAGGAGGTCATGAGCACAAAGGGGAGGAGGGGGGGCGGAGCATGGGGAGGTCCATAAAAGCATCCTGGAAGCATCAGACACTTAAGGCACAAAAAATGATTAGGATGTGGCCAGAGGAAGGAAGGCAAATCAGAGGTGAACTTCACAAGCAAAGGAAAGCTGAGGTGGGAAGGCAAGGAGGCGTTAAAGATCATGGTGTGTGCTTGGCCATCTGTGTTTAGTCACCCAGGGCTGCTGCAGAAGCTACTGCAAAGATGGCAAAACTAAGGAGTAAGAAAGCTACCTCCACCTGTGCTGCTCAGGTACGCAGCATACATACCTGCCAATAGCATCTGAGCACGTGGGTAAGGGGGGAGTAGGAAGTTTGCGAGAAGATACGGCTTTAGTTTGAAACCTCCCCCATTTCTGGTATTCTGATATGGAACCACTATCCTAGTCGATGAGAGCTACAAAATGCTAACACAGAGAGACGACAAGGTGAGATTCTCGTCTCTGAGAGGGGACTCTGCTGCACAATGGACAATGAGCTGAGGGTAAGAGAAACTAGAGCCAGAGGGTCACTAGGTTGCCATGCGGTCTAGGGAAGAGCTGACAAACACTCCCTCTAGAGCAATCAGAGAAGAAAGAGGAAGGGATGGTGTTGCTAATCTTCAAGGTAAGAGAAGCAGGACCATTACACTGGATATGGAGGTATGAGGAGGAGGGAAGAGGTTCAGATATCTCCCAGATGTTTAGTTACAAGCTCCCCAAATAAAATAAGCGTTCAAATCCCAGATCTGATTGTCAAATCCCCATTTGGAAAACACATCAGAAAAACTGGGGACTTCCGTGACTAGCATTATGTTCGCTGAGGCAGTAAGAATGCAGTTTTCAACCAGCCTTCAGAACATGTAGGGTTTTAGAAACCAGGGCCATAGACCAGACTGATTCAATTTTACTGAACCAGAATCCAACTTAAGGGTTAAGCCTCCAGGAAAAAAAGGAAAAAAAAAGGAAAGAAAAGAGCAACTCTTAATACAACGTAAAATATTGTGACTGAGAAAGATTTTCATTTTAAAATGGCATTTCTGCCCCTTAGAATGTTGACCCCACCTCTACCCCTCCATCACCCCACTCATGGGGCCATGAGGGTAAAATCCATGTTTTTTAGAAGCAGTGGTAAAAAATGTTAGGCAAGGTACAGGCTGTAACAGTTCTTACAAGTAAAATGAAAATGTCCCAGAAGAAAGGTATTCATGGTTTGGTTTAGAACTTTTTAAATCTACTCTTCCATAAGAAGAAATAAAAGCAAGAAAGGGGACTGAGAATAGAAAGGGGAAAAATTAAAATCCAAGGTATATATGAAAAGCCTGGAGCTCCATGCATGCATATGTGAGCTTTGCCTCTGGTGTAAGAAGGGAATGGCCAAGGAGGAAGATGCCTCTTCCGCCTGGGCCATCCTGCTGTGTAGCCCTCAACCACTAGGAAAAGCAAAGACAGCTAATCTCACACTTCTCATACAGAGAAGCAACCAGAAGGTAAGTGGTGGTTGCAAAACAGTTTCTTTACAAGGCAGTGGTTCCCAACAGACTGAAATTCAAAACAGACTCTAAGTGCATTTCTGTAGTAACAAAGCTCCCTGGGGTCTTTTTTCAGCCCAAGTTTATCGGAAAGGCAAGTATCTTCCATTACAATCCTGAGTCAAAAGAACTGAAGCCCAGACACAGAATGAGCCACACTGTTTCCATGTAGTACTGGCAGGCTTCCCCCGGCAATGGCAAAACTGATTCTAAGCCAAACATTCATTACCTGCACAAACGTGAGTGCTGCTTTCTGTAGGAGACACTCGGCATAACAGATTTCGGCATGCATTTCCTCTATTAAAAACAAATAAAATTATATTAAGGAACATCCTATGTCCATAGTAATTGCTCTGAGATGTTCAGAAAAGACTGGTAGATCAATGAACCCAAGAGAGGTGCAAAGATCTAGGTTGCTTTGGTACTTTGATAAAAGGAGAATGATGACCTTGGTTCTCAGTCCCTCGGCAAGATTTTTCTAGAATGTGTAAAATGATTCAAGGAAGTCATCTTTGCCCATTCAAATATAACTTCAAAGAGTCAGGCGCTTGTTGCCAGAGCTCCAAACTCCGCTCACAACAGGAAACCAAAATTTAAAAGCACTTAAAAAGAAAATTACTTAACAGTAACATGTAAGTTTAACACAGTTATAAAGATTGAAAAAGACAGTCTTAAAATTGTGAATCCAAGCTTCTAAAACACAAAGGTAGGATAACCATGGCAATGATTAGACACATTATTAACCTAAAGAAAAAGCAGCAACTCTCTGGAGGTCTGCAAAAAAGTACGGCCCTGTGGGCCAAGTCATGACTCCTCATACACAGAAGACATAATATAAAAAGAGTCCGCACTAGTGCCCTGTTCAGCTATTTTGATCCTGGAGATACCTAGCCCAGGAACAAGGTGCTCACAAAAAGGACTATGCAAAGCTGTGTATATCCGGGGACAGATGGAGTGCCGCAAAACACATAGCTGATCTTCCTAGACAATGTCTTATACTTGCAGAAATTGGGGTAGGAGAGAAACCTTTGCGTTTTGGGGTCAACAAAATCATCAGCTTTCTGTTTTATCCATGGGAGGCAAAGTGGCATTTTACTTACATAAACGAGCTTGGGCTTTTTACCAGCCCAGGTTAGAGGGAAGATTCTGCCACACACTAGGCATCCCACCTCTCTCTGCTGGTTATCCCACCTCTCTCTGCCCGTTACCTCATTTATAAAGTCCAGCTCATAATGTCTCTACTTCACAGCTGAGGAATCAAATGAGGTGCTGGAAGCAGAGCTCACTATTCAGAGTGAGCACTCCGTTTTTGTTCGCTACTTTCACTAAGACTTCTGCCCTTGGTCCTCTGGATTGACTCTGCGTTCAGTGGAATAAAAGCAGAGTCTTCGATTTTTAGAGCCACCTGAATTTCCTCTTCCTCCGTATGTATGTTTGTAACAAAGTGGGAATGTTTGTAACAAAGTGGGAATGGTTTGGAATGACTCACTTTGAAAGCCTGCTCAGGAACCCATATTGCTGGCTTGGGCATGTGCGGGGAAGGTCCTGTGGGGCTCCCACTCAGTAGAGCACAAGGTGTGTAAAGGCAGGAGTGTGAAATGAGTCTGGAAAGGTAAGTCAGGGCTAAATTATGGACAATTTTAAGTGTCAGGGGCTGGGCTTGATTCCATAGGCAATGCTGGGTCCGTGCAGAGGTCTGAGAGTTGAGAGTACTGGATGTATCAGGGTTAAGTTAAAGATGGACGAATCTAAGAGCAGCTAAAGGACATAATGAGAAGACAGAGCTAAAAAGGCCAAGAAAACTTGAACTCTGTAGACCTATGTAAGTATCCTTCATGTTAAATCCTTTTCCCATCCTAAGTACTGCATATACATATCTGTTTTCAAAGGAAATCTGAAAACCATTCAGGGCAATATACCAGCCACGAGAGAAGAATGGGTGTGTTCCATGTAAAACCCATGAAAAGTTTAATTAAATATACTGACTCCTGCAGACAACCAGCCCCTGAAGGATGTAAATGAAAATTACCAGGAAGAAAAACAAATCACATACTAAAGCTACAATGTTTTGACATGCTCCCTTGAACACAAAGTCTGTTTGGGTTGCAGGGAGAGCCAAACTCATTAGGAATAAAATGCAGCTTAATTTATAAAAAGTCGTATGCCTTCACTCGATTTGATTTACATTCCTCAGTTCTCAAAATTAGCCATTTGGCATTTATGAATAGGTACCTTACCAGAACATCTCTTAATTATAAATTCCTTAGTCTACTGAAGGAAATCTTCAGCCTAGGCTAAAGTGTTAGTTAAGCATGCCTTTGGATGTAAAAGTTTAAATGAACCTGTTTTGCAGAAAATGCTATAGTCACAGGCTCATTTATTTTTATTATTTTCTAATTAAGACCCCATTTTTAAAAGCAGTGTTAAATTCACAGAAAAACTGAGGGGAAAGTACAGAAATTTTCCATGTATCCCTTGCCCCATGCATGCATTACCTCCCCCATTATCAATACCCCCCACCAGAGTGGTACAACATCATGATCACCCAAAGTCCACAGTTTTTCCATGAGAGCTCATTCTTGGTGTTGTACATTCTGTGGGTGTGGACAGATGTATAAAGACATGTATCCATCATTATGGAATCATACAAAGTTTTTTCACTACCCCAGAAATCCTCTGTGCTCCATCCATTCATCCCTATACCTTATCCCTGGGCAACCACTGATGTCTTCATTGTCTCTACATTCTTTTCCAAAATATACTTGGAATCATACATCAAGTAGCCCTTTCAGATTGGGGTCTTTCACTTAGTAATATGCATCTAAGGTTGCTCTAGGACTTCCCATGACTTAATAGTTCATTTCTTTTTAGTGCTAGTTAATATTCCATTAGTCTAGGTGTACCACAGTTTATTTATCCATTTACCTACTGAAAGACATGTTGGTAGCTTACAAGTTTTGGCAATTACAAACAAAGCTGCTGTAAACATCTACGTGCAGATTTTTGTGTGGTCCTAAATCTTCAGCTCCTTTGTGTAAATAATGAGACTGATAAATAAAACTTAAAAAAAGCAAAAAAAAAAAATTAAGGAGACTGATTACTGCCTTGTAAGGCCACAGTATGTTTAGTTTTGTAAGAAATTGCCAAACTGTCTCTCCCAAAGTAGCTATACAATCTTGCATCCCACCAGCCATGGTGTTTCTGGTGTTTCAGGTTACGGACATTCTAATAGGTGTATAGTAGAATCTCATTGTTTTACTTTTTCAGTAATTAGTAAGAAGCAACTTTCTAGCTGATTCCAGATTTTCTAAAGTGCCATGTGCAAAGACATTATAAAAAGGTAAGATCGCAGCACCATCTTATTTTCAAGATGTCTCACATAAGAATAATTCAACATTTCTCTCATCCATACATGAACGCTCTATTCTGTTTACTACAAGCCTACAAGAAAACGTGTGGGGTACAGAGGAAGGAGCTGTGGCTTACAGAAAGGCAGATCAGGTTGGAACCTCGCTCTGCCAGGCAGGTAATCTTGGGCCATTAACCCAACCATTAACAGTGATGACACTTGCAGGGTGAGTTACGGTGGGAAAGAGAAAAAGATACTCCATTTACTTTATAGTATACGCGTAAGTATTGACCTTTAGGAGTACGATCACATCTTAACTTTCTAAAGACAGGGAAACATTAATCTTTTAAATGAGTCTCACCTTCAGTCAGCTGTTCCAATGATCCTCTAGATAGAAGACTTGAGAAAGATTCCACAACTGTGCATTTTTTCCTGTATCTGCCGAGAATAAGTAGAAGGGGAGATGGGAAATAGAAACAAAAAAATAACAAGACATCAGGGGGAGTTCATTTTCATTTGATGTTCATTTCAGTCTCAGTCATATCAAAGAGTCACCAAGGAGGAATTCCAAACCTTAAACCCTAAACCCCCTAAAGGGCAGAGACCAAGCACCCTTTTCAACATGGAGCACCCGACGCCCAGCGCTGGGCCGATCTCCTGTGGGCACTCCATCCATGCTTACTGCACACGTGAGTGGAGAAACCCACACGACACAGTGAACACTAGCCCTGCCAAGTGCCTGCACCATGGTGACACCAATATTTCACTGGTAAGAGGCAGCCACAGGATACGAATCAACCTAGAGTGTGATACTGGGAAACTCTCTTCATTTGCAGGGTTGTAACGTAATTCCATGAGGATATAGTTTCACATTAAACGTCACCAATGCTAGTTAGCAGCTGTTGCTGGGCTCTTGCTATACACACAGAGCAAGGATGAAACTAACACTGAAAATCCATGTCATTTTCACCAACCGGAAGTGTTCAAATATGTCCTTTTAGACAAATCAAACTCTCCCTTCTGAATAGGCAGTGTCCCCCGTTATATGGGACTAGAGGAGAGTTCTTTGTGTGGCCGGGCTTGGCAAGCAGGAGCTGAATTCCTCCATCCCACAGAGACCCTTGGGAGATGCTTGCTCCTAATCCCACGGAACCCTCCCTCAGTTCATCTCCATGGCTGAAGTTACCAACAACAATAAAAAAAAGTGGAGACACAGATGCCAAGTGCTTGGCCATACAAGAGACTGCTGTAATTCCTAACACGGACTTTCGACTCTATTACAGAAAACTATGGGAGGCCAGGAGGCTTGGAAGCGCAAGTCCCTTACTACCATTGTGGCTGACTTCACACAGAGCTCCCCCTCAGGCAAACCAGATATAAAGGTTGGTAGTCGTGTCTCAAGTGTTTAAATACTCAGTTCATACTTTTGGCAGGTCTGTAACGCATCCTTCATGGCGGAAATCCCATTCTGGATGTCCTGTTGCTCGAAGGTCAGGACGGCCTGCAACACCACGATAGTACTGTAGCCCAAGGCGTGGTACATACTCTCCTTAGCCCTGGGGGCAAAATACAATCAATGAATACACTGTAGTGCAGCTTACGAGCATTCAGATCCTCTGATGCATTCAGGTCAGCTCTGATACTAAGCAGGAGAAATCCTAGTAAAAGCATATCATGACTTGTATATTGGAGCAATAAATTTTACTCCTTCACCATAATCACTGAAATGATGTAGACCGGGAAAGACATGTCCTCAAAACAAAACAAAACAAAACAAAACAAAAGCTTGAGTATCAAGGACTTTACAAATTAAGCCCATGTAGGCAGCACTGAATATTCCAGGTTGAAGTAGAAGCTGACCACTGTTTTTCCCTGTTTCAGCACAAGGGGGCAGCCTGCGGACAGTTTTCCTAGAAAACATTTCAGAGCAAACCAGTTTTTCCCAATTGAACACCAGGAATCTACTCACTATCTTTAGCTCTGATAGAAGTACTAAACTAAAGGCCACTGGAAATGCATTTTGTGACAGAGAGACTCTGATAGGTTTTTTTGAAAGATAAAGACCCATTTTTAAAACTGTTTCCTCTCCACTCCCAGCTGGAGGCCAAAGGAAACAAGAATTTTGCAATAAATGAGGTCGGCCATAAAGGGCCCACACAAAGGTACACTTTAGACTTTATATCTAATCTAATGCCATTATCCACAGTTCCTGAATAAAGTTCTTGATAATTCAAATTACTAAATTATCAGCGAGAACTGCTTAAGACCCTTACGGGCATTAATTAGTGTTAAGGTGTGGCACATCCCGGATTCTGACTGTGAAAACCTTACCATGTCTTTTCTCAAAACTTCTCATTGTGTCAATTAGTTATTTATAAGATTTAAAATATTAACACACAGTTTTGCTTTCAGTTCAAATATAATGCACCACAGCCCGCTGCTATGCAAAATGAACGCAAGCCGCATTATTCTTTTCCCTCGTGGAAATAGGCTAAACGTCCTTTGGTAATTTGCAGTTTGTCCTGAATAGCAAGGTCACTGGCTGTTCAAAAGACCACAAGGAGTAACAGCAGCCCAAAGTTAATCATTTATTGTGGTTTTAAACCTCACATTTTTTTTTTTAATGTTTTATTTATTAGACAGCATGAGCAGGGGAGGGTCAGAGAGAGAGACACCGAATCTGAAACAGGCTCCAGGCTCTGAGCTGGCTGTCAGCACAGAGCCCGACGCGGGGTTCGAACCCACGAATCGTGAGATCATGACCTAAGCTGAAGTCGGACGCTTAACCAACTGAGCCACCCAGGCGCCCCTAAACCTATATTTTAAACCAAAAGCTCCAAGAGGAAAAAAAAAGTATTCAAGTGGGAAAACCTATGTTTAAGAGTGAAATGTGCGTGAGGATCAGAGAATCCTGACTACATAAAAAGCTCAATCACTTCTTGTCATTCCTCATTACCACCAGCGGGCATGTCTGAGGCAGAGGAAAATGGAGTCTCGTGTGAATAAAAAGTGAAGGAGGCAGGCAGGCAGGCAGGCTGAGAGAGGAGAGACAAAAAGGAAAAGGTAGGCAGGCAAAGAGCAGAGACAGAAGATGGACAGAGAAAGAAGTGTGAGGGACTGGGTAAGACACAGCAGGAGCCAGGCGGGGTGGACAGTGTTGGAGACAACACTGGGCAGTTTCCTCGGGCTGTAGCATCTATTTTATCCTCTGTTCCTAACCTCGGAAATACTAAGCAATCACAGCTCATCTACATCTTAATAGAATCACTGCAGCAGCTTCTCAGGAGGTAATTTCATTTTTTTTTTTTTTTTAACCAAAGTAGGTAGTTGGCATACAAGGTCATATTCATTTCAGATGTACAATACAGTGACTCGGCAATTCTACAAATTACGCAATGCTCACCATGATGAGTGTAGGAAGACTGAAAGTCCATGATCAGAATCACGTCACCCTACCGACCACAGAAAGGAGATTTCCACTGTTGTACCCAAGTAACCTTCCAGAAAATTGTTATAGAAGGTCTAAGCTTCGTCCAAGTTAAGTGACTGTGGTTGAAGGCACAATGTAGGATTATGCCTGTCCAGCTACAGTCATGCTGTAGAGTTGGGGGCTGTGCTCAAGGTGACACCTAGTATACGGGCTAAGCACAGGTTTTGCCACCACATTTAAAAAATTAACAGGTATTATTAACTGAAATTAACCTGTTTAACCTGTTTATCACATACATAGGGAGTCCCAATAACATTTTTTTATTATCTTCAATTTCTTTTAAAGAAATTTTCTTTTTAACATTGAAATTAGTATATTCCAGTTCTTCCCATCCCCATTTGAAAGGAAATTTCTGTCAGAGATATTTATGCTTTAGAGGCATATCCATTAAAATCTTTCACTGGAGGAAGCAAAATGAAGCTCTTCAAAACTACATAAGATGACAATATTTGAACACATATAGAAATTAAATAGGAGAGAGAGTCAGAAACTGTCTACTGATAAAATCTGGAAAAAAAAAACCAAACAGATTTTTTAGCTGAATATTAAAACTGACCAAAAGTAAGGGGTCTCGGCCAAATTAGTTAGGAAATAATCAGGTGGCAATGCAGATAAACTGACTGACAAGCAACATATCAAAGACTCATCAGAAACATCTGAAAAAGTATACTTTATCTAAAAGAAATAAAGGTAATTACCATGGTCGAAGCAATTCTAAGGCATCTGTGAATTTGTTACTTAGAAATAAGTTCAATGCCACTGAACATTCTTCTAGGCCACACTTGAGATCCATCTTCGTGGGTGTTGACCTAAAGATGAAGAAAAAACTACATAGAATTTCGATCACTTTCACGATTAGCAAGTTGTTGCATGTGTGTGCAGTTTGAAGACAGAAAGGCTAGGATTCTAACTTTTCCACTTAATAGCTATGTCTTTAACCTTCTGAAGCCTGACTTTCTTATCTGTAAAATGGGAATACCATCACCTTCATGAAAATGTCATGAGGATGGAATAAGTTAACAAATAAGGCTGACAGCATGCACAAAGGGTGGGAACTACCTTTATTCACAGGAGAGGGAAAGTTATTATGTTTTAGTTAGGTTACGCAGCGGGGGAATATGCTTCAGTGGAAAACTCTGATTATTGTCTAGATTTTAGGAGAGACTCCTTCAGATTGCTTTTGAGTCTACAGGAACTGTCTTGCAACTCTATCTTTTGTTTTCCTTTTTTTAATGTTTATCTTTTTTTTAAATGTTTTTTATTTATTTCTGAGAGAGAGATAGCATGAGCAGGGGAGGGTCAGAGAAAGAGGGAGACACCAAATCTGGAACAGGCTCCAGGCTCTGAGCTGGCTGTCAGCACAGAGCCCGACACAGGGCTCAAACCCACGAAGCATGAGATCATGACCTGAGCCGAAGTTGGACGCTTCGGTCAGCTCAATTGACTGAGCCACCCAGGCGCCCCATATATATATATATATTTTTTTGAGTATAGTCAACACACAATGTTACATTAGTTTCAGGTGTACAACACCGTGATTCAACTTCTCTATAGTTATGCTAGCTGCTCACCATAAGTATAGCTACTGTCTGTCATTACACAATGCTATTATAATATTATGGACTATATTCCCTATGTTGTGCCTTATATTCCCATGATTTATTTATTCCCTAAATGGAAGCCTGTATTTCCCACCCGCCTTCACCCCTTTTGCCCATTCACCCATGCCTCTTCCCTCTAGCCAACCGTTAAGTTTGTTTTCTATGCTTATAAGTCTGATTCTGCATTTTTTTGTTTATTCATTTGTTTTGTTTTTTAGATTCCACATATAAGTGAAATCATATGATATTTATCTTTCTCAATCTGACTTATTTCACTTAACCCTCTAGGTCCATCTGTGCTGTTGCAAATGGCAAGATCTCATCCTTTTTTATGGCTAAGTGATATTCCATTGTACACACGTACACCATCTTCTTTATCCATTAATCTGTGGATGAACACGTAAGTTGCTTTCAATTCTTAGCTATTGTAAATAACGCTGCAATAAACATAGGGGTACAGATATCTTTTTGAATTAGTGTTTTAGTTTTCTTTGGGTAAATACCCAGTACTGAATCATATGGTATTTCTATTTTTACTTTTTTTGAGGAACTTCCATACTGTTTTCAAAGTGGCTATACCATTTTACATGCCCCGCAACGATGCACAAGGGTTCCCTTTTCTCCACATCCTGGCCAACACTTACTATTTCTTTTTCCTTTTTAAATTTTTTTTTTTTTATTTTAGGCATTCTAATAAGTACAATTGATATCTCACTGTGGTTTTGATTTGCAATTCCCTGATGATTAGTGATGTTTAGCATCTTTTCATGTGTCTTGGCCATCTGTATATCTTTTTGGAAAAATATCTGTTCAAGTCCTCCAACCATTTTTTAATCAGTTTGTTTTTTTAGTGTTGCATTGCATCCCTGTAAATGATAAGTAACAAATAGCAATGCAAAGTAACTGTTGTCTACTGACATGTAAACTCAGTAGAGAGGTTCAATGACCTTTTCTCCTTCACTCTGTAAGAAGCTAGTTTTGCTGACTTTGGACATTACTTTCAACATTCCTTTATACCATATAAATCTGTGCTGTTTTGATTTCTCCTTTGATTCTATTATAACACCTGCTCAGTTCCCCCACTGATTAATGAGTTAATGTTCATTTTTATATTTGTATAATCGTTATGATTTCACCATTTATTAAAAATTATCTGCTAGTTATCTATGATTGACAGAAAATTTGCTCTTTAAAATTAGAGCCCTCTCCAAAATGTTTTGTATAACAACTTTGAACAGAAAAATATTTCAGTAAGTAAATGAGCAGTACAATGATTTATTTAAAAGTACTTAAAGTTCGAATTTCCATGCCACCAACCTCTCCAAATTCATTCCTTCAAACATGAAAACAAAATCCCACTTCGGTTACTTTTCCACCAGCAGGCTGGTTAACGTAAGTGTTCTGAGCACAAAATAGTAGGTGAGGCTAAGCTATGGTGTTCAATAGGATAGATGTATCAAATGCATTTTTGATTTACGATGGGCTTATTAGGGCATAAGCCCATCACAAATCAAGGAAGATCTATACACACTGATGCAGTAGTTACCTAGGAAACTATCAGATGAATTAGAGGTTAACTCTGAGGGAGAAAACTCCTACTTCTAAAGAAAGCTCAGATTTCCATGAGCAGGGACATATGGAATGAAACAGTAATGTGAAAAGTAAGTGCCTTAAGATTCTTGAAAGTTATTTTCAACCTCATTTCCATTCATCAAGCCTCAAATTATTGCTCCCCGTCTCTGTACTGTGAGAGCGTAGTCTTCCGACAGACTGCCAAGTCCAGGAGTGTTATGAACACACAAATAGCTGAGATTTCAAATGCAGAATCTGAAATGCTAACGATCTACTGCATAACTTAATGTTCAATAAACCTGTAAGGATAGGAAAAAAGCACTCTCGTGGAACTAAAACACAGCTTTAACAGAGTTGCCTCAATAATGATAAAGGAACAACATTCACGTTGAAAAAGAAACAATTAGTGAAATTAATTCGAGAATGGGCAGGAAAGGAAAACATTCCTTAGCAATTCAATGTGAAATTATTACAAAAAAGTATTAATGGAAAAGAAAAATGTCATGATACATTAACTTTGAGAAAGCAAGCTACAAGGGGCACCTGGCTGGTTCGGTCAGTGGAACATGCAACACTTGATTTCAGGGTTGTGAGTTTGAATCCCACGTTGGATGTAGAGATAACTGAAAAATAAAATTTACAAAAAAGGGGGGGGAGGCTACAAAAAAAAGATGGAGTGGCAGGGCAAAAAATAATAAAATAAAAAGCAGGTTACTAAATAGTATATTTAACACGATCCCAATTAATAACAAAATCAATATCTATATATGAAGAAAAAAAGAAAGGATACAATACCAAAAAACAAAATTATAGTGATGGTAATACACATTTTATTTTCTCCTTTGCGTTTTCTATATTTCCTCAATTTTCTATATTCAACATTTCTTAAAATGCTCTTTAAGCCAAAGTTATATGAATATTAAGTAGAAAAATAATCCTACTAAATATTCAGTGAAAACCCTACAGCTGCATCCATATTAAAATCCATACGGCCAGGGGGCACCAGGTTTAGCTCAGTTACTTAAGCTTCAGACTCTAGATTTCAGCTCAGGTCACAATCTCACAGTTGGTGAATTCAAACCCTGTGCTGGGCTTGTGCTGACAGCAGGGAACCTGCTTGGGATTCTCTCTCTCTGCCTCTCCCTACTTGTGTGCATTCACACATGTTCTCTCTCTCTCTCTCTCTCTCTCTCTCTCTCAGAGATAAGTAAACATGAGACATAAAAGAAAATATAAAGAAGCATATGCTCAGGAAAAAGACTAGAATGATATACAGCAAAATAACATGTTTATGAGGTCATATTTATGGTAGGTATTTCTCCTTTCTTCCATTTTCTCCATTGCATGGCAATGTGGTTATCTTATTTAATATGTGAAATTAATGATTTATAAATTTTTAAGATAAAAAAGACCCAAAAGGAAGCTCTGCCTCAAATGTAATTTAGTTTTGTTCCTTTTGATGTAAGAGGGTCGCCCATTCAGAGGCCCTTAGCAGCTCCCTCTCTCCTCCCCTGGTGTGTGAAATGGACACCAGTCAGTAAAACGCAAAGCTCTGCTCTAACATCAACGTTACAATTTACAGTGACTCCGCTCCGCCTCCTTCCCCCTCCCCCAACCCCCAACGTCCCTACCTGCGCCCACTGACCGACTGACCTGCTCACGTTAGCCGATCCGGGCCGGCCGGCCCCCTGTTTTGTGTCAAGTGATGCAAAAGGTTGGCTGCCCGCTGCCATATCTGTGCGAGAAAACCTATTAATAAAACAAAGCAGAATGAGGTTTTTATTTGTCTTACAGGAAAAGGTCACATAAATTCAAGTATACAACATAAGCCCTCCCATTATCTAGTACATCTCACCTCCATTTCTAATCGGTTTTGAAAATCAGGGAACAAAAATCTACTGTTACATGGTGGACGTTTCGGAAACACAGCACTAATAACATAAACTTATTTTTCTTCTGCTGCACACAAAAACATTAACTGAAGTCAGCCCCCACCAAAGCTCTCCGCCCAAAGACAACGTTGTATCCTATACATAAATATCCTTCCAGACCTCTTCCCAAGTAAATCTATACATGTATTTTTGTATTTTATTAAAATGGAATATTATTGAAAGGAAGGAAAAACTTTTCTTTGAGCCTCTTAGAGTCCCGGGCTGGGCGTGAAAATAAAACAAAGACAGATTCTCAGGAGGAAAGCATGTACATTTTGTTGCATTTATCCATGAAGTCCATGAGAGTCTTGACAAGAGAATGAAGATCCGCACAGAGCACGGGAGCAGGAAGCTTGTGTATTTGGGAAGAACTGGCAATACAAAGGGCCTGGGGTAGGGGTAGAAAATGATGAAGTCACTAGGAAGATCAGGGTCACTGTAACAGGCTTGCAGATTCTCCAAGCTGATACAAACGTCTTTCTCTAGTAAAAGGAGAGTTTACTTCCAGCCCTTAGGCAGAAAAGAAAGAGCTGTTCCAGAGTTTGCTCCTTCTTGATTGCCTTTAGCTCAAAATGATTTGTAAGTCAAAGAGGCATATTTTAGGGTGACATATTCTAGTTCCCTTCATTATGTTAAATTTATCCTGAATCTTTCCTCAGAGTTACTGTAACATAATTTGTTACCTGCCCCTCATTTGGGGGGCATGTAAGTTGCTCCTGATGTTTTACAATTGCAAACAATATTGTAATGAGCTCTTTACTCGCTTGCCTGATTGTTTTCTTAAGATAAATTCTTGAGTTAAAGAGCATGTATTTTGAAAGATACCTTCTTCTTAAAAACGGCTTCATTCCTCATTATATATACACCACAGACTATATACACCTACAGTTACACACTGGAGGAGGAGACTGATCTGGTTTGCAGGTCGGAGGCCATCTCACTGACCCCGGCCTCCCTCCACAGGCACGTGGAGGCGGGGCCACGCTAGAAAAGGAAATTTCTTCTCAGTTTAAGAATAGGCCCCGCCCAGTATTGTAATAGAATCACCAACCCCCGGCTTCCATTTGTCTTAACTGTACACAAGCCTAGGGAGAAAAGGGTTATTGACTTTCCTTTTGGGGAAGATTTTTTGTTTTTGGTTTAATTCTAAGATGTGCAATGCCCTCAGTTAAGTGGAGTTTGATTATAAACCACCTGTCGGACTTCCCAATACCCTATAATATTTTATATTCAACATTCATCTTGTCTTGAATATATCAAGTTCCTGAAATTTTATACATCAGGTTAGGGGAAAATCAAGGTTTTTCTCACAAAGGTGGTTGGGTGTGGGTGTTGGGAGAAACGAAAACCCCATACCTAGGAAGAAATGTAGTTTAGGCAGGGTATTTTCCATCACAAGACTATTTTACCAGAATAGAGGAAGCACTGAGCACTTACATAAACCAGACTCTAGGGCAGGGACAGCTACCCCTGCTTAGCAGCAAAAAGGAAAAAGATGTATTCAAAAGGTCATCTATCCATATTTAGAAACAACCTTCCCTCCAAAAACATTATATGCCATAATTTTACCAGTGCTATTACCTTTTAATATTGAATTTTTAAATCTATTTATAATTTGACTATAGAGTACAAGAGAGTGCTGTGTATTTTTTCTTAATCTTTGGCATTTTTCCCAAGATAAATTTTAAAAGACTGTATCTTTTTCCACATTTCACATATATGGTATGGTGATTTGACATGCCGTATATGTAAATGTTATTAAGTTGTCCTAATTCAAGTCTGCTATGCCAGGTAAATGCTTCATGTTTCAAAGTTACAATTACAGTGCCTTTACCAGACACAATAGACTTGAATTTAGCAGAACTTAATAATTATGAATAATGTTAGATTTTATTCACATCTTCAAAGGTATAAAAGTATAGATTAGATCCTTCTAGTCCTTTACGTTTTTGTATACATGTCCATGAAGTCCCAGAAATTCTACAGTATTAAAATTTGTATTAATATCTCAGTAAGTATATCAGGGTACAAACTGATTTTTTTACTCAATGGTGTATTTTGGTGTAGACCTAAAACACTCAGACTACATCATATTCAATCGAGAACCTATTTTCTTATTTTTTTATGATAAATGTTTCAAATACAGAGAGAAAATGACAGGCATTGTAAGGCCACAAGTCTAAACGTCTAAACCAAACTGACTCCATGACAGACTTTAAGTTTCCCCTCTAAACTAGAAGGCCTAAGTTTCAGCTTTCCCGAAACTATCAGGCAGAGACACGTTGCCCAAGGCAGGAGAAACCACCCTTGCAACACCCAGTCAGGAAAGACCAGCGACCACCCTCCACATTATTAAGGGAGAGGCCTGGAGATAGAAACTATAGATAGGACCCTGTTACCTAATGTTAAAGTTAACCCGTTAGTCGCCGAACAAGACCCTAGGCTTGCTCTGTGATTGGTTAAATTTAAAGGTACTCTAAATGGTGTAATTGGATCCCGCCAAAAGTAACGAATACTCTAGACAATGTGTATGGTCAAACCCGCTGTCAATGATGTTGTATAACTATGATTGGATCACTGTTCCCATGTCACAACTTCTGTAACTCCCCCGTCTCAAACCCCATAAAAACCCTACTCTGCCCTTGTTCGGGGCTCTCAGCATGGATCCATTGCATTGGTGAGGTCTGGGAGCCCGAGCTTAAGCCTGTAATAAAGCCCTTTGCCTTTGCATACGTGACTTGGACTCCTTGGTGGTCTTGGGATTGGGGGAGATCGCGATCTGGGCATAACAGCATATATCTGGAATCTTTTGCATACGGTGAGAGTTTCCCACATGGATAGGCAATTATCCCCACACCAATGAATAACATCCTTCAGCTACTCCTGAGCTTGGAAATAACACAAAAGGAAGAGCACATGTCCTTTCAGTGTCATCTTGGAAAACTAACAGACCCACCAAGGAATATTTCTTTTTTTTTATTTTTAAATGTTTATTTATTTTAAAGGGGAGATAGGCAGAGATAGAGGGAGAGAGAATCCCAAGCAGGCTCCGCACTATCAGCGCAGATCCCTACGCGGGGCTCATTCTCACAAACCATGAGATCATGACCTACGCAGAAATCAAGAGTCAGAGGCTCAACCACACGTGACTGAGCCACCCAGGCATCCCAGGAGTGTGTCATTCTGTAAGGTGTATATACCTTTGCTTGATTTGTTATTTACTACCAATTTAAGGTTCATATTATATAAAATAATATGCTAATTTGTAGATTTTTTGGTCTGGTGATTATTCAGTAAGGTTATAGTTTTACTGTGTGGCAGGAGATTAACAAGTTTTACATATAAAAAATCTTATTACAACATTCTTCAGTTACCCAAATGCTCCTGGAACCAGTTTTACCATCGTGCTGATTTCCTCATTGATAAATAAATCTTTGACGCTGTTAAAAGGAAACTCATGGGCCCAAAATGGCGTCACTTAGGCTGAATCCCCAACTGGGGTTTAATAACTAATCCAATTCTAGTTTCAGCCTCCCCCAGAGAAGTCATCTTAAGCAGTCGGTCAGGAATTTTCCCATCTGAGGCCGATGAGTCTGCAATGAGTGGCCAGAAGGGCACTCTCCATCCTCCAAAAGAAGATGAGGTCATCTGCATGATAAGACCTGCTGCTCTTCCTCCTAAGGCAAAGAAACCTCACCTGCAACAATCCTTTTCTTTGCTAATAACTTTCTTGCCCCACCTTCTTCCTATAAAAACCTTTTTACAACTCCTCTACTTGCTAGATGGGATGCTGTCCAATTCATGAATCTCTGATAAAGCCAATTAGACCTTCAAATTTACTGGGTTGAATTTTGTGTGTGTTTTTTTTAACACTATCTCCACAATACTACATTTTCCCCATCCTTCCTACATTTATTCAGGTCTGATCTTATTTCCTTCACTAAAGGTTTCTATCATATGGAACACTGCTCTGAGGTTCTAATATCCTCCTTGCAAAATGCTCCTTGGATTGCTTCAGTTTTAGAACCTGTCCCACCAAAGTAAGCACAATGATTAAAAATTTCACCAAGGGGCACCTGGCTGGCTCAATCAGTAGAATATGCAACTCTTAATACCAAGGTCGTGAGTTCAAGACCCACGTTGCATTACTTAAAAAAATAAGAAAGATTAAAAAAACAATTTAACCAAATAGAATGACTTGTCTCTTTTACTCCTGTGCAAGATACTATGTTCAGAAGTTTAAAGAAATGTATTTTTAGCTAGTGAAAAATACTGTTATTGGGTTGGTAGAGGCTAAGAAAGACAACGCATCATGTTTCAATCACAGGGGTTAATATGTTGGAGCATTCGTTCTTCTCTTGCCCTGATTTTATTACTCCATTTTTAAGTTTTTAAACAGCTTTATTGAGATATAAATTCACAGATCATACAATTCTCCCATTTAACGAGTACAATCAATGGCTTCTATTATGTTCTTAGAGGTGTGCAACTATCACCACAATCTATATTTTGTCACTCAAAAGAAACTCTGTCCATCCATTAGCTGTCACTCCACATTTCCCGCTCCACCTTTTGTTTTAGGCAATCACTTGTCTGCTTTCAGAACGTACAGGTGTTTCCTGGTCTGGACATTTCATATTGATGAAATTATACAATATGTGGTCTTTCAAGACTGCCTTTTCCACTTGGCATAAAGTCTTCAAGATACATGTTGATTTATCAGTATGTCATTCCTTTTTATTGCCAAATAATATTGCAGTGTATGGATATAATACATTTTGTTTACTGTTTCATTAGTTGATGGATATATGTGTTATT